CCTCTATATGTTATTAGGGTTAATATTAAAAAATAATTTTTGGCTGATAATTCAAATATATATCTTATTAAAAAAGACAAAAAAAATATTTATGTATATATTTTTTAAGTAATCGAGTGATGCATAATAACCGAGAGCTGTTTATATATATACACACAGATGGAACAAATCTAACTGACAACTCTTGAATTTTTGATACAATTAACATTTTGTTATAATTTTTTTTCTTTTTAATAATTTATGCATTCTCAGATGATGTTGAGATCATATATTCTTTTATTTGTTTTAATAATAATAAATATTAAAAGAACTTTTTTTTATTTAAAATTTTTTAACGTTTTAAAATAATCAGTTGTTAGTAGTTTTCTTACAAGAATGATTTTAGGCCAATAAAAATTTTAGGACGAGTAATTATTGAATTACCAGTATTACAATACATCAAATAGGTGTGTTGCTCATATGGGTACAGCTCGTGTTGGTGTATGTTTATAAAACATACTACACCCGCGTTACTTTTCCATTCAATATATTAAAATAATTACTCAAAAAAATAATCAAAAATTGTTTGAAACTATTAAAAAAATTTTAATTAAAAATTCTAATAATATTATTATTAAAAACAAATGGTAAAAAATATAATTTTAACGTCTAAAAACGTAGACATTTTTTTTTTTAATATTACAACAAAATATTAATTGTATCAAAAGTTTAACAAGTTGTCAGTTGGTCTGTTCCACTCTCTATACGTATGTATGTAAAGAAAGATTAAAAATGCTAAATAGGAAAATATAAATTTGCATTTGAATTGTTTACTATGAACGAATATGCATTCATTATACTTAAGTCTTTACAAAAGGAATACGACATTTTCTCCTTGTTCCAAATGCAGTGCCACTTTATCACTGGACGTAGCTCGATCTGCCGGTCCCGATAGCATTGCGGTAGCGAAAGTCAAAACGATTCCGAAAGCTGCGGTGTACAGACCTGAACCTGTTGCGAATAAAAATATTATAAAAAACCAGATCATTACAAGTACATCAAATCCGGTATAATTATAAAACGTTTAGTATTCTAAATTGAAACTTACCCATTGTGCAATTTGCTGAAACAAAAGGCTCCGCTTGTATACCACATAAGTTAACCACGCGTTCTGAACCCCAACCGGCTGCAAAACAAATCACTCCTGTCATATATAGTAGACCTGAAATAGACATATATATTCGATTATTTACAAACTGTGTTTGATAATAAATAAGTTTGCCTATGATATATTTAACTTCAGAGTGATCAATTAAGGAAAAGACACTCGATTAATTAAAAAAACTACAATAATACGTAAAATAAATGTTCATTCCTTCCGAGTTAAAATACCTAAACTTTAATTTTATTTAATAATAACCTTTATTTTTAGTTTAATAATAGAAAAAAAATGTATTTCATGTAATATTTTTATTTAATTATCTGTTATTCTATTATTACTTGTTAAAGTTCAGTGGTTAAAGTATTTAAGTTCAATGATGAAAGTTGATTGACCAATTTTCTATTAATGATTTGCCGTTAAACGTAGAGTAGTAGATCCACTATACTACTACAGATAATAAATAGCTTTATTATTTGTGGTGCTACGATGATACAACACAGAGAGTCGATAATGAACTCAACCAAATGATCATTGTACCAACGACAAAAAATCGGTNTGATACAACACAGAGAGTCGATAATGAACCCAACCAAATGATCATTGTACCAACGACAAAAAATCGGTCAATCGAAAAAAATGTATTTTTTTCATTTACACAACAAACATATTTATAATAAATCCAAAGACTGATAATTGGTAAAATGTTTAGAGGGGCTAGAATAATTCGAGTTAATTAAACAAGGTTACATATTACTATCATAAAACATTTAGGTTTATAACATTAGTGACCCAACCAAACCTCCCGATGTTCGCCTAAGTGATTAAATTTATCTCAAATAATTAAATTGGTGAGCAAGAGAAATAATTTGCTAGGACAGTAAACATAACGAAGTGGATCGAGTACCCTTCATTCCGCCCCAGTACTGTAGTCATCATTGAATAGTTTCTGAGAAAATTAATGTTTTATCTTTTTTCGATCACTTTGTATATCACAAGTAATCATATTTATCATTCAGTAGTTAAATATTATTCTTAGGAAACTTGTACATTGAGATAAAAATACAGTATAGTACAGGCTCTGGAATATTTCTTGGGAAAAAAACCTTTGTGTTTTTATATAAAAGAAGTCTGCATAAGGCTTTTCAAAATAATTGTATAACGTAAAATTATAAAATTACACTGAAATCGATATACCCATTTCGTCTTTAATTATTGCACCTATACTTTAATGCGGACTCGTATCTTTTCATTCGAAATTAAAAATATCAACTTATACATATTTAATTATTAATTTAAGTTGAATTATTTTACCTGATANTTAGGTTTATAACATTAGTGACCCAACCAAACCTCCCAATGTTCGCCTAAGTGATTAAATTTGTCTCAAATAATTAAATTGGTGAGCAAGAGAAATAATTTGCTAGGACAGTAAACATAACGAAGTGGATCGAATACCCTTCATTCCACCCCAGTACTGTAGTCATCATTGAATAGTTTCTGAGAAAATGAATATTTTATCTTTTTTCGATCACTTTGTATATCACAAGTAATCATATTTATCATTCAGTAGTTAAATATTATTTTTAGGAAACTTGTACATTGAGATAAAAATACAGTATAGTACAGGCTCTGGAATATTTCTTGGGAAAAAAACCATTGTGTTTTTTTATAAAAGAAGTCTGCATAAGGCTTTTCAAAATAATTGTATAACGTAAAATTATAAAGTTACACTGAAAGCGATATTCCAAAAAGGGAGAGGATACCCATTTCGTCTTTAATTATTGCACCTATACTTTAATGCGAACTCGTATCTTTTCATTCGAAATTAAAAATATCAACTTATACATATTTAATTATTAATTTAAGTTGAATTATTTTACCTGATAAACCTTGTCCAGATCCCGCCAAACCAAACATACTTTTTCTACGAATAGATTGTTTACAAAAACTACATACAGCCATGATAGACATTATAAAACTAATAAAGATGCCACTAAACATTAAAACAATTGCAATTTTCCATGGTGTAGGAAACATGTTTGAATCGGTGGCCAATCCTTCAACAGCAAATGAACCACAGTGCTGAATTCCATTAATTTTTTTGCATCTGCTGAAAATTCCTAACGAAGGTCGACAGCGTACATCGAATGACTCTGTTTGATTAACTGTAACGAAAATTTTCATAAACATAAATATATTTAAAAACTGTCAACTTAAAGAAAAATAAACTAATTAAAAATCACTTTGTTCTATAAGATTTGGCAAAAGACAATCATATTCAGTAGGCCCGACTAACCATTGAGGAGAGTAGATTGCTGTAAAAAGTGTACATGTAGATATTAAACTTAATCCAACCCAGAGTAAACTTTTAGATGTCAAAATAAAGTACATTCTTTTAATCTGTAATTAAATAAAACCCTTTATTATATTTTTATAAAATATGTATATATCATTAAAAAAAAATTAAATACAATAAGAATTGATTACTAGTTAATAATACTATACAAATACTTACTTAATACTTTATAAGGTATTAAAAATATCTAACTCAATTTTTATATAAAATATTAAAAAAAAGATTTAATATTAAGATTTATTGTGAAACCGCCATTTTAAACACTTATAGTTAATTAACTAAAATTGAAAATAAAGTACATTTTTTTGGTGAAGGGGTGATATACATTTCATTATAATGTAAGGCATTTCATAATTATTCGGAAATATGGACCCATTAAATTATATATAATTATTTTGAAATTCATTAAAAAATAAATTTAATATGTTAATAACCAATAATATTAAAACTAAAAGATTGAGTCTTCTAAAAACAAGGTGCATTTAATAGCACTTCAATAAAATAAAATGTTTTATTACACTATCACAATAATTATATTATAGGTACGATTTTTTTTATTGTTTATTATAACTAAAAAAATACTGTTTTCACTCACATATTATTTATTACAAATTAAATGTGGTATAATAGTTACTAATTTTACACTATATAGTAGTAGTAGTAAAGAAACTAGGCAGTTAATCTGATTTAATAGCCTTTTAAAAATTATTATAAGAATAAAAATAATGTTGATGCCTGTTGTTAAGTCCAGTACTAGAGGCCACAATTTAATGTGGGGGCCTGATATTACATTACTGTTTTTGAAAATTGTATAGTGAAGTATTAACAAAAAAATTGTACATGTATTTGGATTTGATAATAGTAATAGGTATTTATTATTATAAACTTGACTANATAATAGGTATTTATTATTATAATCTTGACTAATAAAAATCATTTAACTTCTCATTCAAAGTATGAACTTATGCTTAATTTACGATTTATAAAATAATAACACTTTTTAGAAGTGGTTAAATGTAATTTATGAAATCTAATATTTATATTTATGTAATATTAATAAAGGCTATACCTAAGACTATATAACAGTATTGATCACAAAAATCAAACATTACAATAAATTTTATCAGAAGGGATTATTTAAGGTCACGCGGTTTTCGAATAAATAACCTTCCTTAAACTGAATGATGTTCAATATATTCTCATAAACATAATGCAGTGTTTATAACTATGTATGAAGAATAATTACCCATTGACGGAATCGTGTAATTAGCTTGAACATATTTAAGAATTTTACACCTATGGTAAGAAAAAACGCCTGAATTAATACTGTAGTATTAATATAACTACATAAGAAATATTATTATTTTTATTAATAATAAATGAAACAGTGCTATAACTGGGATAGCTTCTTTTCGTCATAACCATTTATTAATTTTCATCATAATAACTCATTATCAATATTTTGTAGATTTTACTTTTATGAATAAAAAAAGTATAAATATGCGGTTTTTGTTAGCTTAACACTAGAAATTTAAAATACTAAAGACAATGCTGCCTAAATACGTTTTTGGCTTAAGATAACTTCTATTGTACTGAGGATAACATAAATGATGTTTCTCCCAACCATGCGCCAACCTTTTCATACAAAAGAAATTAAGTACGTATGTACTTAAAAACCTAATTTAAAATATATTTTTAGTATATTATCTCAATTTTCGTCTCCCTTTAGCACGAATTTATTCCTATGACAAGAATCTATAGTAAAGCTTCAACTTTCAATACATACAAATTTATTAGTATATTTCGCATAATAATACATATTTAAGTATGAATGTCCACAAACCTGAAATTAATATATTTTAACATTCACTATATTATTGTAAATTCCCAGCCAAACATTTAAATTATTAAGGTATGTGAAATTGGAAGATATAATAAATGTAAAAAAATGGTAATTAATATGCATATTATACATTTGAATTTAAATTTTAATATTTCAACAAAAATATATGTATAATCTTAATTTACATTCAAAAGTTATAAAACAAACATTTTATTATTAGTGTATATTTAGAGAAAACCCCTTTTTTTTAGCTAAATAATAACAATTTAAATTTTGACTTTAAATAATTTAAATTTAGACGTTTTCAATAAAATTAGAAGTAGAGTTTGTGTTTGATACCTGCTAAAAGAGTTATTAATTTAGTACATGCTTGTCTCTAATTGGTAGTACTGGATAATGTGCAATACCGACTTGTATCATTGTTATCAGCTGTTGTTACTGTTGTCAGTACATTTGAACGTTTTCTGTGATTTAAAGTTTGTCAGCGAGTGTTCTGTCTAACCTATTAGCTCATCTATGTTTTATGTTCTTTACATACTACTACACACCTTAATTGATCTGTATTCTCATACAGTATGAATACTTTTTATTCATAAATAATGAATCNACCTGATAAAAGAGTTATTAATTTAGTACATGCATGCTTGTCTCTAATTGGTAGTACTGGATAATGTGCAATACCGACTTGTATCATTGTTATCAGCTGTTGTTGCTGTTGTCAGTACATTTTAACGTTTTCTGTGATTTAAAGTTCGTCAGCGAGTGTTCTGTCTAACCTATTAGCTCATCTATGTTTAATGTTCTTTACATACTACTACACACCTTAATTGATCTGTATTCTCATACAGTATGAATACTTTTTATTCATAAATAATGAATCATTATTCTCTTAAGTAAAACCACAATACTACTGGAATTATTCTACAACTCTAAAGTACTGCTGCCTCGTGCAGAGAATTTAATCATAGGTAGCATTTTAAAAAGCTCTGTCAGTAAACAGCTCATGTGATTCATGAAGAAGGCAGATCGGCCATAATCTTATTCAGAACCGAACAATAGAGAGGAAAGTGTTATTTTATATCCTATTAGCTTACAAGAAAATAATATCATAAAGTATAAGTTTATCATTTAAAGGTTATGTAATTCAATGGTGAGCATTAACTAAATAAAAAGTTAAAGTTAAGTTTAAAAGTTTATTTTTTTTTAACTTAACGATTTCACTAATTATTTTTCTAATAAACTTTTTAAATTGAATAATTTAATTTTCCGTTGAAATAAGTTAGCTTTTTTTAAATTAATTAGTTAAAATAATCATTAAGCTAAATTTAAAATTTCATAAATAATATATGTATTTATACACTGCGTAGGTGGTTTAATTAAAAAAAATTGAATTTTCCCCTAACCTAAATAATGTATTTATTTAAAAATAAATATAATTTTCTGCTGGGGGATTTTTGAACTATAAGGTTTATTGCACCTATTGTGTTATTCGTTATAAATTAGAAACAGCAGAAAAAAATGTACGTGAATTTTAACTGAATTTTTTTTTTAACTAGTTTCAAAAATAGAACAGTGCAACCAGCACCAAAAATGTGTAAAACGAATAAAAAAAAATTTTCGTTATTAAAATTTTCTTCCTATTTAGTTTTAAAAGTTGAAAATCGATTCTTAGCTTTCCCTTGCATCACCGACCAATAAAAAATGATTATGAGTGATATTACCAAAAATAAATGAATTTTAGATAAAATAAACTTCTTTAAACAAGTTAATTTAAAAAAAAATTCAACTTAGTCAATTAAATTTATAATTTGTTATATCTAACAAATAACTTTTAACTGTTATTCTATCGACATCGTTTATTTGTAACTTAATTTAACTTGAGTTAATTATTTCCATTTACTTGTCCACCTATAATGCAATTTATATTAGTTTAAGTCTTGTTATTGGTCCATGTGATCTTTATGTAAAAGCTATTGACACCAACCATTTACGAATGCGTTTCGTTGATCAAAAGTTTGGAATAATATCTCCAATTAGATATGCTGGTAAAGAAACATTAACATATGTAAATGTAAATAAATGTTTAATATTGAAATAAAATAATTCTAAACGCATTTATTGAACTTCCTGTTAAGCAATTACTTTAAAAGTTAAGTCACGTTGCGTTTCAACAAAAACACGTCTTATGAAATATCTTGAATAATTAATTATTAAATGGGATAAAACTCTAAAAAATATTACACAAAATTTTTTTGTTTCGTTTACAAACATATTTAAACCTAATAATATTTAGTATAAATATCATAAGATATTAGAAATTCTAAATTATAACTAATATACTTATAAGTATCTTACAAATGTAGATGAAATGCAAAAAAAAATAAAAACGTTTTTGCGTTGGACGATTAAATATCTAACACCGACAATAAAAAAATGTATTTTGAGTGCACTATCTTTTTTAATTAATCAAAATTGCCACTTTTTACAATCATAAAATTACAAAAATATTTTAATAATTAAAAAAATTTGGATCAACGAGCGATTTCTAGAAAGTAATTTTATTACTTTAAATTAATTCTTTAAAATANGGAAACATATTTTAATAATTAAAAAAATTTGGATCAACGAGCGATTTCTAGAAAGTAATTTTATTACTTTAAATTAATTCTTTAAAATACCATTCTAATTTAATAACTAATATATGAACATTTAAATTTTTTTGAAATACACGTGCATTTTTCGAGTAAAAGTATCGTTTGGATATTATTTTAGTTATTTTTATATTTTTTGTTTGGTTAATTAAGTATACTATATGTACTGTCTGTCAATTTCTTTTAAATATGTTTATAATACAAAATTTTTGATTTAGTTAATCAAGTTTATTGTTATAATTATCTTTTGTTTAAACTTTTACTTAATAATCAATTTACTGTTCGAATGTATTTTTTTAAGTTTGAACTTTTTTTTGTTTGTCCAAGCAGAGTTTATAATAGGATACGAATTTTTGCATTTGCGCATATAAATATATTTTATCAAGGAATGTTTGAAAAGTTATACATCAATTTCAGCACGGTTGTAAGTATATAAGTTTTGTATATACATTATCAGAACAGTACAATATTAATAATTTTATTTATCTCATATATGATAAATAAGTCTATGAGTTTATTGAAAAAATCGGGATTATCTATGAGAATTATGCTGTACAACGTCAAATTACAGTAACCAATATTCTTATCGATATATTTATTAATATAACGATTACAATTGTAATGCAATCACTACACATTTATAATTATTTAATTTATAAGATAACGGATTAAGATAAAAAATGTACACACAGATTTATTTAATGAACGTGAACATATTCATTTGACAAACAAATTAATTTGTCTGTAAACTAGTTCCTTTTTTACACGTTAAATGCGAATGTGAACTCTTTGAATTTTTTAGTGAACGTTCGGAACACTGATATAAACAAATCACAGTATCGAAATATTAACACAAATTAATAAAACTAAAAGAAATGTTGGGTTATAGAAATAAGCCTCATTGCATACTACAATAAAATGAATGTTTATGTGGACTAATATTTTGGATACCTAATATGATGAGTCATTTCCTACAGTGTGATAAATTAACTTTTGTTATTTTTTTTTTTTACATACACAGCATAATATTCGTTTAAAACATGAGGGCGACACACCTAATTCTAGTTTTGCGGTACTACAACGAATGTAAAATAAGAGGGTGATGACTGAAGAGGGTGTGTTTTAACACACTATGTCTATAGATATGGGTGGCATCCCAAATTTAGAAAATATTCTCAGTAAAAGAGTCAATATTTTGAAGTGGTACTGTGATCGCTGCGTATGCTACCTAAATAACATTCATTAAAAAAAAAATCATTTATTATATTCATAATTTTTTTATAATTTAACTATAACTTGGGAGTTATAATGCAATATTTTGACTTTCTCGATTTATTTAGAAATTAAAATTGGTTTATTTAACCAATAATAACTGCAAAAAATGTACAATCCATTATCCGTAGTTTTATTGAATCCGTGTATATTCTGAAGATCTTCATAGATTTAATGTTTTTGTACATAATAAATTTGTCAAACCATCTGTTATAACTCCTACGTGTATTTCATACACAATGCATTATGATAATATTATGCAAAGTAAATCGTAGTTTATAGAAGTTTTTTTTCCATTTTGAGCAACGATTTTGAATTGTTATTTTTACTCAAAAGAGATCAAGTAAACCAAATTATATAAATCACTTGATATAAAAAACATGTTTACATCAATTACTAGTAAAAAAAGGGTTAATATGAGAACACATGTTCACTCAATAAAATATTTAATTCGTTTTAAGAGATTAATACAGATAATGTACGTTATTCGACCATAAATAGCACAAGACATAATAAATCAAAAAATAACACGCCACGTAGTTATTTTAAAATAAGGTTTTTAAAAAATTATCAATTTAGATTTATTATAAACCTTCAAACTTCACCTAGTTCATAGTTACATCTTTAATTTGTTAAAATTTATAAACTGAACTAAAATATTTCGGTTCATAATCTTACAACAAAATTTAAGCTTACATACATGTTTATTGTACTCTGAATCAATTGCTCAATCAATAACAAAGTATTACGTGATATTGGTATTCATTTTGTTGATTGTTGATTAATAATTAATAATAATAATAAATAGGTGACACAAGCGATTATTAAAATTATTAAAAAAGCTGACTTCATTTTATAACAAATGAGACCTAACTGTGTTAAAAAAGCTATTTTTACATTAACATTTTTTTTATTTTCTGTATCTTATTAATATATTATTAGTTCATTACATAGACTTCGTTTTATCAATAATAAATTTTATTTATTTATTTAAGTATAATAAACAAGTAACCATTTAAAATACGTTATAACTTTTAAGTACATTGATGTCTGTGAGCTATTTATTGCAATACGCCAAAATTCAATTTTTTGTCTAAATAGAAGTTTGAATTGCCAAATTTATTTAAATGTGTAATGCATATTATTCATTATATTTGATTTTAATTTTAAAATAATAAATAAAACCGCAATATTTATCATTTAAAATATAGATTATAAAACACCATAAGATACCATAAAAATATTCTTATATCTATACAATTTATTACTAGTAGTTATTGTACAATAACAATATTATATAATAGTATTATACGATAATTACTATTGACATAATTCGACGATTACCTTAACAGTAGTGATTACTATCCAATAAATGTCTGTTAAATTTAAATCAATACAATTTATTGACATTCAAAGTCAGCAAACCACATACAGTGTTTTCTCATGAATGTATCGCACGCCGTATCAAATACTAAGAATAGATTTAATAAAAAACACGTCAGACGATTGAAAATCGGATCTTCACAAATATTTACGTATTCGTCCAGCACGTAACACAAACAAACGAAACGAACTAGTCGACTCGATCATGAGACTTGCCGAATGAAACAGATATGAATGAACGAGTTGCTGTCCGTTAGCGGATGCCGACTACCGCATCTGACACCCCGACGCGCTTCCGTCGCTGTCCATACACCGACTGCCGTGTGGTTCGGAGCAGTCTGTCTCACTACGTAATGTAGTGTGCGGACAATAGACAACAAAAAACAACAACAATAAATAATAATTAAAGCGCTCGTACTATACAAACCACTAGGTGTTCAAAACTTAAGAGGTCCTTCACGAAAGGAGTTTCGGCAGTACAGAGAAAATGGTTACAATTGTGTTGCTACATGAGATTTCGTTTAGTTATATTCCGTAACCATTTGTATGATAAATTAAATGTACAAACTTTGGCGATAAATAATTAATTTAAAATTAAACATTAAAGTAGCACGTGATCATAACCTGGGTGTATTCAGTAAATGATAATTAGATATTAGTGTTCATACAGTTATCTGACTACTCAATCGGAATACAAAATATACCGAAATGTAAAATCATTTTGTTACATAACACACCTTAATATTTGACCATTAGACAAAAATTATGTATTTACTTGACGCCAATCAACAATTTAAAAGAAAATTACTAATAAAATACTTAATAATAGATTGAAATTTAACAATAGTGATAACAGAATTAATATAATGATTCTATAAATTAATATATTGAAATTTTCTATCCGTTCAACTTTTGATGAAGAAGATAAGAATAACTTATAATTTACTAACATTGTCCAATATTTTTTGTCACACTCATAAACTATTAGTAATTTTAGTTTCAATACGAATCTGAGAATGTAATGATTTTACCATGGTGAGTTTATACATATTAATTTAATTTAATTTATTTTTTGTATCTGTTACTACTTTTCCTCAGCTTTCATTGGTCAAATTTTTTTTAACGATACGTCAAAAGACAACAAATCGTATTAAGTTTAAGATATTACCCTCAAAAATTGAATAATTTTCCCTTGTTCTCTGTAAATTATGAAAATCCCCTAAAAATTCATTTTTAAAACCAGTAAATTTTGACATTTTTTAAACATTCATAACTTTTTTAATAAGGAACGAAACGATTTTTTTTTATCAAATATAAATTACCTTAGGTAATTTGGTATACATTTTTTAAAAATCCTGCTTTTTACCTGACCACAGGGAGAGATTCAAAATAGAAATTTTTGCACAAAAATTTAACTCTTTCAACTTAAAATTTTTAAATTTTTAGGGAATACTTCAAGCTACAAACATATGTTAAATTAAAGCTTATGTCACAAACATATATCTTTCTCGTGCCGAAAATTTACAAAAAATGATTAAATTAAAAATATAACTGGTGAATGACGGCTTTTAATACATTTTTTTGGAAGCTATCACTATTTTAAAATATAGACTGAAGGTAAAGTGTAGTTTATTAATACGGTTTACACTGCCACGCTCCTCACCCATTCATTATTTAAAAACTTTAATTTTAATACTTTCAAAAAAAAACGTTTTAGCAATCAATGGCTTTTGAAAAATTGAGGTAACGAAATACAGCGTCATTTTTTACTAGTCACTTGTTGGCTACTCTTATCCAATCGATTTCTTTTAAAATAAGAATTATGTTAAGAAAATTATTTATGGTATTATTTAGTTTCATATATTATTTGTTTTATAAATTATAATTTTTTAATTCATCACTTATATAAAGGTGTCAACTTAAATTTTTCACTTTTAAATGATAAAATACATATTACAGTATTTTATAAAAATAAAAAATGATCTAATTAAAAAAGTAACTGATCAATGACAACTTTTGACATGATATAACGGTTTTAAAATATAATATTTATATATATTTTATACTATATGCTTGTTGCTTTTGGAATTAAACACTACATATTTGCATTAAATTGTTTTTAACTTAGGTTTTTACAAAATAAATACTTGTTTTTCACTAATGAGTAATAATTTCAAAAATTAGAGACAATAGAAAAATCAAAGGAAGTGGGAGTTGATGTTGCTTTTGTAATTATCCACCAATGTCTTAGATTCAAAAACTATCTACAGATTTGCATCGAAGCGTTTCTCATGATAGTGATAGAAAGGGAGAGAGAGAGAGATAGTGTCTCAAATCTAACTAACACAATTTTAACTTTTGATATAATTAAATTTTAAATTAAAATATTTTTTCAAATAATAAATGCCTTCATACACTACGTTTAAAGCATATCTTTTATTATGAAGCAATAATCAAAAACAATTTTTTTTTTTCAAAAACTTAATGATTTATTTTTTACAAAAAATAATGACGGATTGATAACAATTTTAAGACAATTATTTATTAAGTTACAAACATTTTAATAATACATTGAGTGCGTAAGTAGGTTGGGTTTACCTCGGACTAGTGTTTGTACAGTCCTCCGGCGTTTTATACCCATCATGTGTATAAACAACTAGTAACTTATTAGGTACTTGCCCTAAAATTGTTATCGTACCATCATAATTTTTTGTAACAAAAAGCCTAAAAAATTACAATTTTCAAATTTTTTTTATATTCCTATTTCCTTGAAGGAATGACGTATCTTTATGAGTCATTATTTTTACACTCTAGTATTAAGATATAAAGCATTTATGAAACAAAAACAACAGTACAATCATAGGCGCAGGGTGCGGAGCTAAGGCACTTAGTTCCCCAGTTTAAAATTTAGCAAAATTATATGCATTACCATGTAAAAATTATTTTTGATAGGGGAAGTAAATTTGACTACCCTACACTTATGAGTACAATTATTGGTTTATTCAATTTATACTATGTTAATTACTATAGTAATATTCTATATACCTACGAATCACGATTAAATAATTATAAACCACCTCTAATCGCTCCTGATCACAAAGTTAATTGTAAAACAGATCATGATTCACGAGTGTAGAATGGAATGATTACGTATAATTTACACGTTCAAATTATGTTTTTATCCTATTGCAATATGTTTCCGTTAAGTATAATATGTATTCCAGAAGGATGGCGCTGTCAAAACGTAGAACTGAAAAGAGCAGGTGTTATCGAACAAATATTAGAAATTTGTGATATACGTGTCTTGTTACTAAGTCACTAACTGAAGTATAATACGAGGTGTCCTTTGCATTTATATATTATAAATTATCTAGATAATTTTAAAACAAATGTACTATTTGGACATTTTTTTTTACGTAAAATTCGTACCATAAAAATATATGTGTAACAATAAAGATTTTAATGGGGTGCGAGCATATACCTCATCGAGCGTTTGATGTTTTATAGATACTTAGAGAAAATGGAGAGAATAACAATATGACTCAACTTAATTCTCTTAGTAGACAGATTTTTTTATTTCATGATACACGCGTGAGTATGTGTAAAACGGCACCACCTGCTGAGTATATAATCCTTCGACCAAAAATTAATATTTTTTCTATTCCGTTATAGTTGAGTTAACGCAGTACACCAACTATAAGGAACATCTGTAGAATAAGAATCAAAGAAGGGACCCCCTTTTTTAAAATCGTTGCCACTCACTTTTTACTGTTCATTCTTTGTATATCGTGAATAAACATACTTTACCCAAACATATATTTATAATCAATGTCAGTTCAAACCATGTGCAAGTAGTATCTTCATTCTTAACGTTGACGACATCAGTCCATAAGTAACGATAAATGTAAGTGAAGGCTCATTTTATTGAACGCTAAGATTTTTCGTTTATATAAATAATTATATAAATTGTAACATTTTGTTTTAAAATTATTTTAGCTCTTCTAAACATTTTACCAATTACAATTATCTGTCGATATTTGTTGTATAATGTAAAAAAAAAATCATTTTATTGCAAGTCAATCAAATATTAAAATAACGAAAAAAAAAATTAATTGTTCATAATCGTCTCCGCGGCATTTTCTCAGTAATCCACTTTCGGTTCAACCAATAAAAACCCAACCCAACCGAATCGGTTGTAGACACCAAATAATGATCACCAGGTCACTATGGCTGAATGTGAAAAGGATTTATATGAGAAAATTTGTATACAAAAAATAAAATACATCTTCATAACGTCATTATTTTTATTTTGAAAGTTTATTCCCTAATTTATAATATCTCTATCGCATATAAATCAAGCCTAGATTTTTTATATACAAATGTTTTAATTTGTAATTTAAATTTGTTAACTAAAAATATGTTTGCTGATATTTAAAAAAAATTCGATTAATCCCCCTCCCACATTAAATATTTAGGATCGTTTCTGATAATAACACCACATTTTTCAAAATTAAATTTTATGATGTAAACTTAATAAACTTATAATACAATTCTGAACATTCTAGATTGTCTCGCTAGAGGTTAATGAATCATTTGTCACAGCAAACTTTTTATTAGCTAATCATGGCATTTACAATAACAAAACGATACAAAGAATATATTTATAGTATGGTAAATTATAATATTAAAATAGCCTATTCAACTGAAATGAATGTCAATTAGTAGAGGCACACCTACGAAAATGTTTATTCACCTTCGTTGAAAATACATAACTGTATTTCCAAAATTGGAACTTTTCACTCCAGTATACAATTTTTTAAAGTTTAGAATTTTTTCTACAAAAAAAAAAGTAAATAAATAAATTACATGTTGTATATATTAAATTTTCATTCAGCTGGTATAAAAATGAACGCATATCCCATGTCGTAATACTATGTTTGGTTGTTTAGTTTAATGATAAAATTTTTCCAAGGAGATGAGCTTATATGAATTTTGTATTTTCGTGTAATATTAGATACACCTCAAATCTTGAGAAATATAATTGATTAGTTTTTAAATAACTGTAATAAATTATACTGGATTATTTTTCAGCAATATTTTTTATTTACCCAACCCAACCTTACAAAAAAAGTTTAATAAATAAGCATATTTATTATGAGCAGCCATAAACATTATTAACATTTGTTAATTTGTCTATGTACATAATACTTAAAATCCCATATCAGAAGTTATTTTTAAGCCCCTTAACAAAGGAGAATTAAACTTTCAATAACGAGAAGAAAATCTACACACATTGCATACTATATCTGACACAACATTGTAACATTAATAACCATTCTTAGCTTCTTGAAAATTAAAATATTATGTGCTGCAGAAAATTTATTTTTATTTGTATTAGTTAAATTTATTATGTACAATATTATTAATAAGTAAGTAGTATTAACTTTGNTACAATATTATTAATAAGTATGTTGTGTTAACTTTGGCACAACTACGGAGAATCATGGCTAGCCCCACTCAGGGTAGGTCAATTAAAACATTTATTTCAAGCCCTACACATTTTTTTTTGAATAGTTTTTTTATTTAGATACTATTTTTTATATAATTAAATTATTTTTGCCTATTCTGAAAAAGCTAGGGACAGAGCTCTATCAAAAATAATGAATATTCAAAATTAGAAATTAAAAAAAAAATCACTTCATTTTAATTAATATAAAATTTCCAGAAAAATTTTAGTGCTGTAAAATTGGATGATAAAAAACTTTTTTTTACTTAATACTTGGTTTTCATAGACAGTTAACCAACACAGTTGTGTATTCTTATTTAACAAATATTGAGTAATAAAAGAACAAATCATATATAATTCAATACATTGTCAATTTTGTACTGATTGAACAATAATAATTTATGATTAAAATTATAATATAATTTAAAATATGTTATGGATGCTAAAGGTTTTCAATTGAATACCAGTACATCTATTCTTATACTTAAAATTGGTAATACTAATAAAAAATCAATAAGTGTGTTAAAATTGAGAAACATCTAGATTTGAAACAGCTCTCTTCACATTTGTAATTAAATTTGAGTCAGCGCCAGTTTTCAAAAGCAATGCTAATTTTAAAACAAATTGGTCAATATTTTGAAGTGATGGACATTCTTTATTTTCTAAAAAAGTAATTCATATTTTTATTATAATTTATAATACTTTTTAAAGTAAAACTAAATAATTTATTTTTGACTATAACAACATAATTAATAATCACTATAAGTAGTATTTATTAGGTTATAAGATTTAATTAGCAAAATGAGAGAGCATAATATTTACTTTATTATATATACTTTTTTCTACGTATAATTATTTTAATCTATTTTTAATTTAAAAATGTGGAAGTGTTATACTACGGGCAGTTGATACTTTAAACAGCCGATCCTTTGACAACTCCCATTACATGTAATATAGCACTATAGACAAGGCAATCTAAAAATATTTAGATGCAAATTGTCATTCTTTGAAGATCTAAATGTAGTGCTTAATTAAGTGTTATTATACAAAAATTTCTATTTAAGTACAAGTAATATAAGTTTTTATAAACACATTTTTAATTAACACAAAATAATGCTTAAACATACTTTTTTTTAAAGTAAAAAAAAAAAAATTCTCATTTTACCTGGTAATTGTATATTTGAAAATGAATCAAGGAATTTTGATCTTAAATTTCTTAAATGTTCTTCAAACTTTTCACAACTTTTTTTCAGTTGATCAGTACTTGAAACTAATTTACTGATACCGTTGTTCATGTTTTCAATATGTTTATCTAACACTGAAACTTCTTGTTCTTGATCAGTAACAGATTTTCGGAGATGTCGAAGTTCACATTCTCTAGCTTAAATAAATGTAATAACCATTAAAATTTTAGAGTATGATGAATAATATCTGTATACCAGAGGTAAATTATCACAGATAACATTTTATTTGACAATAATTTCACCTCATCCTCAAAAATATTTGAAAAATAAAAATATAATTTACCTCTATTGAAGTTTAAAAATTCATCTGAATATATTGGAATTTCATAGGCATCCTTATTATCATTAATCTCTTTTTCTTTTTCCTTTTCTTTTTCTGGTTTTTGTTGTTCATGGATCTAACAAATAAAAGTAAAAATTACTACCAATCAGTAGTGATCAAATAGATTAAAGGGATAGATATTCTAATTGATATACCTTTTTTAACATTTTTGTACAATTTTCATAAAATATATTTTATATTTAAGAAACTTTTCATTTGATAATTAAATTTAAAAGTAATTAAGCATAATTAATATCTTATTATATAATAAAACAAGGAAAACACTCTTTTCTGGGAAAATTAATAAATGTGCTTTGATTTTCCAAAAAATTTTTTTTTCAACAAAAGTACTGTCATGAAACTGGAAAAATGATTGGCAAAGATCAGAAATTTAACCACTTACCCACAAGCATTTTAAAATTTTGACCATTAAAAAAAAAAACCACTTGCTGACGACCCGCACAAAAAACGTTTCTAGAATATAATAAAATGAATTCAATTTGTTCTTTTTTTTTTTTTACTGTTTTACTAGCTTTTTTTCACAATGTCTGAATTTTTTATAAGTCCGGGGCATATATTGAACAAAGGTATTGGCTCATTCTTGCTTATATGTATATTTTGACACTTAATTTGTGAAAGGTTAATTTTTCTCTTAAATTAATTTTTAATGAATGTTAATTGTCATATATGTGTTAGATTATATATTGTATATATGATTGGATTAGATTATTAACAACCTTCTTTGTAACTTTTATTTTTATATTATGTTAGTTATATATATTACATGTTAGGTTGATTAAGTATACAGATTTTTTCTATAAATTCCTTTTAAATAAGTTTATAATTCAAAATTTTTTATATATTTAATCATATTTATTGGTATACATATATTTATGATTTGTTTGACTGTTTATTAATGATCTTACTGTTCAAATACACTTTATTCACTATAAGTGGATGAACTACAATCAATATTTTTTAAGACCAATATTTCAGAATTATATCTATATAGAACTTTTTTCTTCGTCACTTAGATTTTTAATAAAAACTTTTCTATACCATGTTTACCAAAGTTAAAAATAATTAGGGCCTCTGGTCTTGGTTGGAGTCTAATGAAAAAATAATTAATCTTGAAAATTTTATAATTATATTTTACAACTTCCATGATGATTTTTACCATAGAGATTTTTCATATTCTCTAATTGCAAAATTATTTGATCCTTACTGCTATCAATATGCTTTAAATATTATTACTTGCAAACAAAACATAAATCATGTTATATCTTGATTTGCATAATTATTAATAATAATTAATTAAATTAACAACTCATTTGTTTAGAAATAACCAAATACCACAATATTAAACAAATAAAAAAGTATTTTTGAGTTACCATTGGGGTATTTTGTTGAAACTATGATGGACAAATTAAACTATTTGTAGAGCATTGCGCAATTAATGGTATCTGCTAAAGAGAGCTTATATCCTCTAAAAATTTAGAAAATTATAAAATACAACTATTTTTTATTATAGGGATAAAATAGAATGAGTATCCTTAAAATTTTCATTCTAGTTGAACATATGTTAATGTGGTACGCACATAAAATACAAAAAAGTCTCATTTTTAACTTAAAGGGAAGTATTTAAAAGCTCATATTATACAATATATGATTTTATGCAGTACATAAGCTATAACAAAATGAATATCAGGAATTTTAAGTTTTACATTAATCTAAGGACAATTTTTTTTATAAAATTATAAAGATTTCTCATCACAATTTCTATATGCTCTTTATGAGAATACTCAGTATTTTAATATTTCTCATATGTAATGTAAGAAATCAACATATAAAATTCTACAATATCCTGTGTTTAACCTTTATCACATTCTAAAGTAGTAGGAGTATGTATACATATTCTTATACAAAATCATAGAAGAAAAAAAATTATTAGATAGAATTAGATGAACATTTATTAAGTGACTAATTACCAAATAATGACCATTTGACCCCAATATTTAAAGGAAAGGCATATAGAGAAATATCATTATGTGATTACTTAATAAATGAAATAAAACTTTAAAATTCCATAAGCATAACTTAAGGACAATAAACTACTAACCTCTGGAATGATATCAGGTTTTTTCTTTTTTGATTTGTGTTGAATAAAGTTTTTGTAAGCGTCTGTTTTTCTATAAGCAGTAAGTTCTTCAATGTACTTCACTCTATCTTGTTCAGCAGCTAGTAGATATTGCTGAAAGTAATAATTTTACAATAAAACAATAAAATAAAAATAAAATTCAATGAAATAATTAGGTAAGAATAATTTACTTGTTTTTTATCTCCTGGCAACTGATTCCACTCTGTAGCTAACATTTTAGTTATCTCAGCAAAAGGCAAATTGGGATTTTCTGCACGAAACTGATCTCGTCTATCATTAAGAAATCGTATATAACCTAAAACCCATAAACTATTAAGATATATATATATATATAAATTTTCAATTCACTAACCTGATAATGGATGTCTTGGGGCATCTTTGTCTCGTAAACATTTCTTGCGTTTTTTACTTTTGATATCAACTTTTTCTTCTTTCTTAGAAACTCCATTCTCCAAGGAATCGTCGTTTTGACCTATGACAATACAATTTACCTAGTATCTGGAAGGTTGCAATATTACCATATCAACTGTACCATAATAATATTGTACAAACCGAAGTCGTCAGCATCTAGGTCCAAGTTGACGTCTTCTTTGACTCCGCTCATATTTTGGTAAATATTTAATAAGATAAATCAAGATTTATTCCAATTACAAAATCAAATAAAAATTAAAAATAGCAATGATTTTTATGGCAATTCCCTTAAATGAAAAGTGCGTGTTACACACATTGACTAGCTAAAAATAACATAATAACAATGGAATAAATTAAAAAATAAATTTTAATTTGTTTCTATACAAAAAGAATATGTAACGGATTTAAAAATGCAAAATATAGAAGTTATTGATTACTTCTCTTCAATTTTGTTTGCTAGAATCTAGATGATGCTACAACGGAACAAACGCTAGTTAGGTAAAACACTTTAATATGAATGTAGCTACCAAAACAGTGTCTGCAACACAAAAAAAAAAAATTATTTTGAAATATATAATTTGTATTCAAATTATGAAGTTTTGAAACATTTAATCTACTTAACAAAAATATTCGAGGTGATGAAATTTAAAATTTTTTTATTTTAAATATAAATTTTTAGATACTTATAATTTGCGATTTCTAATATGGACAAATTTCCTTTTTGCTGTAAATTGACATTAAAGCCAGATAGCAGCAGCCGACAAGGGAATTATTGAGATCCCTATGCAGAATTTAGATAATTAATACCCGAGCTTATGCCAAAATCCCTAAATTTATTTCAATATGAAGGAACTCTAAAATTGTGTACAGTTACATTTAAATAAAGGAATCTAAGAAATTTGTTTTTATTTTATTGCAAAATATCAAATTTGTTTTAATTATGGGTTCTATAGCTTTAAAAAGTCTTTCTGTGCTACTAGGCATATTTTTCCTATTTGTAGGTATTCTCAAAATTAGTCCTGTCATCAGTAAAGAACTTCACAAAGATCTCGTAAGTATCCTTGCCTTTGTTGCAGAAAAAAATTGTTTTCTCTCTGGAATTTTGTGTTAATTTCTTGTTTTAATAATAATAATGATATAATATTTAAGGCAAATAACATTAAAATATAGTGAAATTTATAATACATGGCACCACCCCAAAAAAGCATAGCTTATGCCTAGGGTAGTTTTAATTTATTCTATATGATTAGATATAAACTAAGTCAAAATATCTTAATTTTCACCAGTAACGGAATATTAATCATGTATTTAAATTACTTCTATGGACCATTAGTTATTCTAAAACAAATAATACATTAAAAAAAGTTACTAAAGAAATTCTCAATAAATTTAAGGATAAAAAATCATTATTTTGAGCAAATTTATTGTAATGATTAATTCTAAAAACAAGAATTATTACTGGTGTTTGACCCATTATGAGCTGTTGCTAATAAATTTAAAATAGAATTAATTAAAAATAATAAAAAATTTTTTTTTTACTTGGTGAAAATATTTTATGTTTTAAGTATTAACTAATTTGTTTAATGTTATTTATTCAATACAATACCTTGTAAAGATAAATTTATTATGAAAAAAAAATTGATAAACTATTACATTTTATTCATACATTATGAACAGTTTATGTAAATCCTGACAACAGTGGGTTATAATTAGAAAATATAGATAGAACTCCTTAAATAAAACTTTAAGGCTTTTTTTTAAATTAAATAATAGAATTAATAACCTTCCAAATGGAAACATTAAAAAATTAATCAATATCTTTATGAAATTTATTTTTAATCTTATAACCACATCATGTATATCATAATAAATCTATAAAATTTATATGTACATCATTAATTTAATTTAAACATCAATGTAATTTGATGATTCTATTTGTAGTAAATTGGCAAATTGCCAAGATATGTTTTAAAAATATTTGGCATTAATTTCATCTAAAAATTGTATTACATAACAATCTAAACTTCAAGCTAGATATGTATTCAGTAACATAATTAACACTTACTAGTGATAAATTTATAGAGGCAACTAGAATTTCGGCTTGTTAAATGATTTTTTTCTCACTTGAAGATATTTTTATATAATAAATAATAAAATTTCTAAATGTTTTGGGAAGTGGGCTAAGCCTCACCTAGTTGTACCTATGAAATAATATTTTATTTTGATTTTCATTACATTACTTAATCATACATTTTTTTTTTATTTGCTATATTCATTATTATTTATTATGTTACGTTAATGAATATTTATTCTAATAAAAATTTTTTAGTAAGTAGGAATTGTAGCTTGAAAATGAATTAATTTAATATTATACCTTGTTACTATGCTAAAAATACTTTATGTTTTATTATTTTTAACAGAGAAAAGATTATGTCAAATATGCTAAAGTATTTCCATTATCAAAAATAATAGATTTTAAAATTCCAGCAAAGTGGTATAGAAGAGCAATTGGAGGAATTGAAGTGTTAAGTGGCATATGTTTGACTTTTGTTCCTATCCGTTAGTATTTTTCTATAAAACTGTTTGACAACTACTTTTTATTTAATAAGGTTTTTACTTACAATAACAAATAAAAATAAAAATTATGTATAAATACAATTATTTACATATATTGATTATTGATAATTTTTGAACTACTTAAATTTTGTCTACCTTTCTTTTTTTACAGTATATTAAAACTTTTAAAATATATTTATTGCAAAATAAACTTATTATTTATTAATTATTGTTCTATAATTTCCATTTTTATAAAAAAAATGTTCAATGTCATAGGCACAAATAGTGTTTGAACTTAAGGGGTGCTTAAATACTTAAGATAAAAACAAATTTTCTCACATTGCTTGAAATAATGTAACCAACTTTCTTTTTACCTATTTATAAATAATAAATTTTGCAAAATATATACATACATTTTTTTCCTACCAATGTGGTACTTTAATTATAATTGTTAAAAATAAGACATTACTATGTATGATATACTCATACTATAGCAATAAAATTGCACACTCAAAATATTAAAGACAAGATTTTAAAACATAGTTATTATTTATATAATATAAGGAATATTTTATTTTACATTACAAAATTTTAAAACTATCAGAGGGTGTTAAGTAATTGTAATTTTGCTATTTGTACTTATGGTCAAGATATGTAACAAAAATTTTGAAGTAAAATCATTAATAAATGTATAATTGTTTGATTTTTTTATATTATTATAACTAAATTTAAATAATTTTCAAATTTCGAAATGTTCTTAATGGTATTAAAAGACTAATATTTCAGGCTTTAGGTAATATTTTAGACTTTACTTTGTATCCATATAATTATAATAAAATTAACTACAGTAAAATTTAATTTATTTATTTAAAACTATATTTGCACAATTATATCAAATTATAATTGATATAATTATTATACATATAATAAAATACATATAATATACACAATTATATTTAATTTATGTATGCATACAATATTTAATTTACAATAATTTTTGGTTTCCCAGGAAATATAAAACAAGGAGCTAACATTATTTTATTAGTGTCTCATTTATTGGCTATATACACTCACTATGCAGCAAAGGATAAATTTGAACGAATGGCTCCATCACTGGTATTTTTATTTATGTTAGCTGGCCGACTAGTTATTGATTACCAGTTAAGACGCAAAGAATTAGCAGAAATTGCTGAAACTAAAGCTCAAAAACAAGATTAAACTGCATTTAGACATTAGTTATAACAGTTTGATCCCTTTTTTTATACTTCAAAATTTAATTTAAGTAGTTATTAAATCACTTGCTGTTTTGTGAACTTGTTATTGTCGTGTCTCAATATTTGTATCAATAACATTTAGTGTTTTTTTAATCTAGTCATTGTCTCTAATAATGTAAATAATTATGAAATGTGTGTTTTTCTATAACTTTTTAAATGTGATTTTATTTATTTTATAGTAAAACATTTACCATGGCTCTTAATAATATAAAGTATAATTAGTTTTCACTATTACATGTACATTAAAAACACAAAAAAGTATTTAAATATAAATAAATAACATGTAAAAAAAAGCTTATAAATTATGATTCTTCACCAGTCGTTAATAATTTCAATGCTTTTTGTAGATTACTTATAGATTCTGACACATCATCATAATTTAGGGCACTGGAAGCAAATTTACAGTATTTTTGAACTTTAGTAATTTGATTTGGTGTTAATTTTACTCCATCTAAAAAAATGCATTCTTATTTATTTAAAAAGTACATTTATTACCTTAATTTTTTGTGAGATCAAAAATATTCCAATAAATAAAAAAATAAACAGTATAATTTAGTTGCAAACTAAAGTATGTATAAATATATATTGTTTTTTATATATATATTAAATGTTTTCTATAAAAATTATTGCTTGTGCCAGAAAAGACAGAAAAATCTACATAACACAACAGTATCAAGCCTCTGGACAATGTGTTACAGACCGATAATGTATATCAGTATATACAGAAAAATATTGTTAATAAACACAAATTTTGTTAGAGTCAGCTTAGCTAAACTTAATTATTATCATTAGCTTGCACAATTTGTTAAAGGTTTTTAAAGTATTTTTGTATAAAATGTTGTATAGATGTCTATTGAATAATAATAAAAATTACATAAGAGTAAAAGAAAAAACAAAATTATAAAAATATCGACAGGATAAAATCAATTTTGATTTAGATTCTAGGCAGTAGAATATCTATATTTTTTCTCTTAAAATATATACTAAATAAGACCTTTTCTCTCTCTCTCTAAAGTGCACCTAAATCACATAATTTATACACGTTTGAATATTAAATAGTTTTTTAGCATTAATTTTTGTTAAACTCATAGATTTATAGAGCTATTTATTATTTATATCTTCATGATAATTTTCTAAGAAAGGCATGAAAATTATGAGAACAGTATACACCACTAATATATGAGTAAAAAGTTTTTAAGTCCATAGCATTGAAATGTCAGGAATAACATTACAACAGTAATAATTTTTTTTTGATTTGTACAATGGTCTATAATATTTGATAAATCTAATAACTTTTGATCTACTAAATATTTTGTTACTTTTTCAAAAATAATTTATATATTCTTAGACTATATTAAAATTATATTCTTTATTATTTTCAACATTTCAAAATTGCTATTTTTTAGCCCTTTTCTTATAAAAAATGTTGATGTTTATTAATAATTTTAAGACAAGTATTTATTGAGTTACAAGCAATTAAATACATAAAGTTACATTAAAAAATACTACAAGAGTAGTATAACACTATTTTTCTTTTTAAACTTATAACATATTTAAGTAAAAATAAATGTTAAAATAACAATATTGCTTCTTTTAAATTAATTTGAGAAAGTCTAAGATTGTGAAGTAAAAGAGTAATTAAAATAGACTTTTATTTATTAACCTATAACATTTAAAAAGAAAAATAGATGAAATAAAAATGTGTATTACAAAAATGTATACCTTTTAATACAAGTGATCCACCTTCTGATATAACTGGTTGAATTCCAGTTGAAATAGATGGATAAGAATATTCATTTGAATTGTTATGTGTCGAAGGTGTATCTCCTAAATTAGGAAAATCTATTAAAGAAATAAACAAAATTAAAATATTTTAGAAATTGATTAGTTTTAAATTAATTTTATTATTGGAAGTATTTTTATTATAATACCTGTGCCAGGCTGTGCATTAGAGGAAATTAAAGGTGTAGTGTTATCAAAAGAACCTCGACTATCTTTTTCTAATTTGGTGTAATCAAAACTTAGTGGTTCATTGTTATTTGATGGTGGACCAGAAATTGGCGTTTCACCATTTTTCAAACAATTATGTATATATGTTGCTTTCCATTTTGCATATTTTTGTGTATTTAAAATTTCTTCAGAAACATCACCAAATACACTGAGGACATCCATAAGTAGGCCAGCAGTGAAAAATAACTTAACAATATTTCTATAAAAATATAACATTTATAGTAATATTCAAAAATATATAATAATGAAAAATATTAAATGAACATTGTTTAACAAATTAAAATAGTGCATATTTACAAGAATAATGATACAATACAAATTTTTAATTTTTGAGCAAAAGTTAACAAAACACTTAATCTTAAGTCTGGAAAACTTAGTTTATTTAGATTTGATAGTTTTCATTAGAATTTCATGAAAAATTAATTTTTTATTAAATAGTATAGAATTAACCATTTTATTTTATCTTTTCTGAAAAATTTGTTTCCCAAATTATGTCACTATCCTTGCTGAAATTATTAGGTAATTTAATACTTATTGTAATTTTCTTGATGATCCATTGTATCAGCAGCATTAAACAACCTTACTGCATAGTTTTCAAAATGAGCTTGAGCTGCGGTTTCATTTATTATCATATCATTTTCTTTTAATGCGTTCTTTTGTTTTTCCAACCAATCCATTAAAGGTATTAGGAAATGTTTAGCTTCTTTTGATGATTTATCTATTGTCAATGCAATTTGTAGAGCGTACAAACGGCCTAAAATGTAAAAAATATAATCGGAACGAAAATAAAAATATTGAATTAACAAAACTTTAATCAAGAGAAAATGAGCAACTAACTCCAATAACTAATAACTGGATCTTTATTATCATGTTCGGATGCAATTTTCATATAATGCTGAATTTTTTTTAGGCTTTCCGGACATTCTGGAAGCTGAGCCATTTCTTAAGCACGAAATTTATGTTATAAAATACCGAATGTTTAATTATAGTTTATCTTTTTAATATAAGAATTCAATGAAATATTGTGATAACTTTTTACAACAAAAAATAATTTTGGAGATGGAACAAATTCTATATTATAACGATCTCAATGCTATCATTAACAGTTAATTTTGATAAACCTTATCAATGTTATGTTAATAATAGGTATAACGATAATGTTTACCACACTGAGCGAGAAAATATTTCGCGATTGGTCAATTTTAACTCTATCAGCATCATGATCTCAAATTTTACGAGTATGATGTTTTGTTCAGCTACCTATGTATTTATACCGAAACGACGAAGATTGGTTTTGTTAAATTATTTTATATTGTTTATCTACGTATACAGAAGGCCTACTTACAGTTTTTCTTACTATCAAAAATCACTATTGTTATTTCAGTGAATATTAAATTTTTAGACCTAACGTTGAAATAGTTTAAATTTTATAGAATAATTTGCGTCAAAACCGGTATTTTACAAAAACAAATTTAGTATCTGTTACATTTTGCATTCTAAATATGAGTAACAATAAATCAGCATTATTTGCTTGTTCAAAATGTTTTAAACGTTATCCTTATGAAGAATTGTCTTCAGGACAACAATTATGTAAAGTAAGCTGCATACGATAATCTTTAATTTTTATAATTGAAAGGTGTTATGCTATTTTTATTAAATAGGTTTAAGATATTTGGGTATTTTTTTTTTTTTTAGAAAAATACTCATAAAATTAATAACTTTATATATTTTTTAAGTACTTTTAAAAAAAAAGTTAATTATAAGAAAAAAATTTAATAGTTTATAGTTTAAGAAGAAAAACTAAATTAATTCTTTTAAATAATTTCTACCACCGATTATTGTTACTAATAAATCTAGCATAAGAATTAAGAATGTTTTAATCTGAAATTGTTGTGGATTTGAAATTCTGCCTGAAAGGTTAAACTTCACTCAATCATTTATTTATTAGTGTTACTAACATTGAGCTAGATGTAGTTTTGAATATCATTTACAGTCATACATCATTATCATAATTTTTGATAGAAACTGTCAAGATTTTGTACATCTTCTTTAGATATTTAAAAACAAAAATATTTTTCCATAAAATACTCATGAGAACCGGAGTAAAGTTTTTATCAGATCTGTATCAGTCTATATCATATCAAAAAATAGTCCCTGAAAATTTTCAAAAATATATAGTGACAATTATCATAATTTTTAAAACGTGATTTAGGTTATTGATAGGCTAAGCCTCTATGCTATGTGTTTGTTGTGACCTCATGCAGAAGAAGTCCAAAATATCTTATTAGAAATAATTACAATTATTTTTCTCACAAATATATATATATATATATACTTTGCATAACTTAACAATAGACTAATGGTGTATATGTAAATAATTAGCATGACAATGTTTTGACCTGTTAATCTATTTAAAGATATACTAAAGACTTGTCGAGTTTTAGTTATGTTAATTCATAATAGTCAGTTATTTTTGTTGTAATGCTATAAATCTACCACCAACGTTGGTGCAGTAAGGATACAAAATATTTTGTTGAATTGGGTGTTCTAATTATAATTAATTACTTTTAATATAATTTTATTAGGGACGGTGTGGCTAAGTTAGTAACACGGCAGTGCTTAACACCCACTGCCTTAGGTTCAAAACTCGGTCATGGGCGGCTTTATTTACCAAACGAGAGATCAGTTTGGAAATGAAGCCGCCATCCCTTTCTCCAACGACGGACTAACCACCCTTCCTAGAGTATCAATGGTTTAGAAACCTCCTTTTTTGGGTGGTCGCTATGGCCCTTAATGGGTTTATAAAGCATTAAAAAATAATAATAATAAATAAATTTATTAAAGATAATTAATTCCAATCAATTACATTTTTTATTTAAAACTTAGTTAAATATTATTGTAATGTTATTGAAAGTGTTAGTTTAAAAGTATTAAAAATTTATTTTAATTTTAAATACTATAATTTTAATATGTTATTATTAGTTATATGATCATTTTTATTCTATTTTTTTAATTAGGCTACAATTATAAATAAATAATTTTTGTTTCATGTAAAGGAATGTCGAGGATCATATCCAGTTGTAAAATGTACCTACTGTCGATCTGAATTTCAGCAAACTGAGTAAGTTGCGCATTATTAAATTTTTTTATTCATCACTCATATTATTATGGTTAATATATGCTAATAATAAAAGTATTCAATTTTTAATAGTAAAATAATTCACTTAAACATATGTTATAGTAAATCAAATACTAGTACAATTTGCAAGAAATGTGAACAATTTGTTGTACAGTATGGTAGACCTACTGCTTGTAGTTACTGTAATATTATAGCGGCATTTATAGGACAAAAGTGTCAAAGATGTGCTAATTCTGAACGAAAATATGGTCCTCCTGTTACTTGTGATCAATGTAAACAAAATTGTGCATTTAATAGAAAAGATATAGATTGTGAAGTAAGAGTTAAATATTTGTAATTCCTGATTGTTTAATATAATGTTGCAATTGTTTTATTTTTAGCTACTTGATGGCAAAGTGTTATGTTGGCTGTGTACATTATCATTTAAACGGGCCTTAGCAAAAACAAAAAAAACTGAAGCTGAAATGAAACAATTAGTAAAAAAACGTGATGGGTAATGTGATAATACTTTGAACTACTAGTTTGAAAAATTTGCATGAAGGGCAATAGTACCATATTCTATTTTATAAATTTAAATAAATTAACGAGAAGCTTCTCTGCTACATTTATTTCTTATTCCCTTCTTTCCTAAAATGAATTTAAGTTTATTTACAGACATTACAAATGTTTCTGTAGGGACTTCATCCCCCGTGAAAATTATGCTAATAGATAGTACATANTTGAGAAGCTTCTCTGCTACATTTATTTCTTATTCCCTTCTTTCCTAAAATTAATTTAAGTTTATTTACAGACATTACAAATGTTTCTGTAGGGACTTCATCCCCCGTGAAAATTATGCTAATAGATAGTACATATTTGATGCAAATACAAAACCAACAATTTTAACATTCATTAATGTTTTTTTAGATCTAAAATTAGAAAAATAAAACATAATAATGTAATGAAAATAATGGATGATAGTGGACCTGATTTTGCATTACCACCACCATCTAAAATGCATAGGAATTCTCATAGACATCATGTAGATTCTAATTCATCAGACCATGTAGTGGTGATAACTGAACTTAAAGAACAAATTGCTACATTACAAAAACTTTCAAACCAAAAGGACTTTCAACTTTTGAACAAAGATAAATTAGTAAGAAAAATTTTGTTATAGATCTATAATTGATAAAATAATTATTACATTTTTGTTTTAGATTTGTGAATTAAAAGCAAAGCATTTTACAACTGAAAATGAATTACGGACAAAGATGAATTCAGATAAAAAGGAATATAGCAGAGAAGTAGAAATGTTACATAGTAAAATTAAAACTTTGCAAAAAGAAGTAGCTACATTATCAAAAAGTGGTGGTAAGCGTGGGGTACATCTACGTAAAGAACCAGATAGTGGTAGTGGTACAGATAGTCCATCTGTGACTTAAATCAGTATTACATATAAAAAATTCTCTGCTTAAAATGTATTAATTGTATTACTTTTAAGCAAGATTAACTGTTTAAATTAATAATATGACTATTATCAAATTTTTTAAATCTAAATTATTTATAGCTAGGTTTCCTATGCTCCAGTAAACTTTAAAAATAATTTCTTAAAAAAAAAAATCAATTTCCGATTTTCATTATTGTTTAACTCTTAACCACTCAAATAGTTTTTGTTTTGTTCTATACAAAGATGTAATTTTATTTTTTCTTATAATATTACCAATGTTTTGAAAATTTTAAACTATTTGGAATGTGACATGTCAGTTAAATATTTTTTGTTACAAATGATAATTTAAAACCAAATTCTAAATAGGAACAATTTAATAAAAGTAATTAATTTTCATTTTTCAATTGAAAATTATTTACTAATTATTTATGTAATAAAAAGAAATTGCTGAAATTACTTAGTAAATTGTATTATTAAATACTTATATATGTATACTAATACAAACATTCAAATAATTAAATGTAAATATATTTTTTTGATAAATTGTTCTTTATACCATGTATAATAAATGTGATTAAACAATTTTGTAATGTTAATTTATTTATTCATTATATTATTAGGATTAGTTAGTATAAACATGTGTCACCACCAGTGGTTAAATCCTGTACTACCAAGTTCTTACTATTACCAACTTTCCCCTTTAAGATTTTTCTATTGGGATAGAAAAATCAATACTTCTTGTAACTATCTTTACTGTTCAAAAAGTTTTTAATACTCTATTTTTATTTTTAATTAGATAATTTTAGTAAAATAATTATAAATATTAAATATGTCTTCTTTTGGTTTTGGTTTGAGTGAAATTATGAATATATCAGTATTTTATGAAAGTAAAATTGCCAATGGGACGAATAATGAACATTCAAGTACTAATTATATTTTAGACTACATTTTAAGTATTTCTAAATTGAAAAATTTTTTACTAGCAGGTTGGTGTAGAGATTGGCGTAGCTCACAACATTGGATGTTTCAATTAGCTAATGCTCTTTTTTTTATATCATTCTCAGTGCCAACTAGTTATTATGGTATATTGTTTATGCATTCAACACTGATTACAGGTATAATTAAATAAATAATATAACTTTATTTTAACTAGTTGAATACTTATTAAACTGGGTTATATTATAGGATTTATAATATTTATTACATGGGCGTGGCATGTTGTATGTGCTCCTGATATTTTAACTTGGAACTTAAGTTTTCTTTTTATCAATATATTACAGTTGATTTATCTTCTATATCAGAGAAGGCCAATTAATTTTAATCCTGAACTTGAACAAGTTTATCGTAGAATGTTTAAACCATTTAATGTTAGTACCTAACTAATTTTTAAAAGGCTGAAAAATTGAAATAATACTATTTAAATGGTGTTTTATTTGTTCCTAGGTTAGTAGGATACAGTTTAAAAAACTTGTCGGTGAACAATTTGCTCAGATTATGACGTTGCATATTGGTGAAGCTTATGCAATGCAAAATTTAACTAAAACAGATAGACTTGGATTATTATTGTCTGGTAGAGCAAATGTTTTACAAGATCATCAATTATTACATCCTATAGGACCTTGTGAATTTTTGGATTCTCCTGAATTTGAAAGTCGAGGATCATCTGAAGATAAATTTAAAGTTGAGTCTTATTAATAGTTATAATGAATATATATTATGTAATATATTTTATAGATATATTTTAATTTATTTTTAGGTGTCTGTTTTTGCTGCAACTACTTGTCGGTATATATTTTGGCAAAGGTCTGCTTTAGAATATCTTTTTGTTAAAGAAACATATTTAGCTACTGTATTCGCAACTCTAGTTGCCAAAGACATCACTATAAAATTGTATTTAATGAATAATAAGGTAATAATAATAATTTAAGTTAATATTATGTAGTATAATAATTTACTATAATAGACAATTATATTTTTATAAAGTAATTTACATTATAAATTAATATATAGAAAAGAGACTTAAAAGAATAAACCCTTTTTTTCAGTTTTAGTTTAAGGTCACACAAAAATTAAGAATAATATTATTTTTTGAAAATATTTTTTTGGCAAGAGAAAATTTGATTAACCTCAAAATAATTTGAATACTCAGGCTTAGAGTTTAAATATAAACCGATAATCTATATAAGCTAGTATAAGCCGATAGATTGAATCATAATTATTTTTGCCCTGGCCTCGTCAACTTTAAAATCTTATCTTAAGTGTAAAATTAATTATCTATTGAATATTAATAACCTTGTTCAATTGTAGATTGTTACAGAAAAAGGTTTACACTTGGATATTAGATTACCAAGTATTACTCCAGCTCTAGCATCAAAAGAGTTAAAAGCGCCAATAATAAAATCTCTTAAAAAACAAGCTACTTTAACATCCTATCTTCCAATATCACCTGTTCCTGCTGGTATTTATACTTATAAATTACTTATGACAGATCTTAAAGTCATATTATATTTAATTAATTTAATTTAATATATTGGACTTTACACATTAAAATTTAAAACTCAATCATAAAAAATGTATTATAACTTAAATGAAGCATTAAAGACTAGTCACATATAAAATATAATAATTAATGAAATTATTTCATTATTCATTACTTGTAAGTTTAGCTCCAGAGGTCTGTTGTGTATTAATGCAAAGGGGTCCTGGGACCACAGTAGTCAGAGTAGAAGGATAAGGAGGGATGCATTTTTTTATTTTTAGTTTCAATACAAAGCTGAGAAGGTATAATTTTACCAGGTTGTGTTTATTTTTATTATTATTTTATTTTTTGTGTCTATCACTAATTTTTGCCTGGTCTCGTGGACCAATTTTTTCAACAGTATAATAAATTGTATATATATCTACAAATATTAACATTAAAAATAAAAAAAATTTCCCTCATTTCCTATAAATCGGAAATTCTATAAACTCCCAAAACTTACAAGTATTAAAATTTGTAAAATTCAAAATTTGTTTAACTTTTTTTATTTATATAATTGTAATAATTTTTTAACAAAATGAATTAATATAATAAAAAAATAAATGATTTAAGTTTTTAATTTTTATTAGGTATTATTTTTTGAAAATCATCATTTTACTTATAGTACAAGCGTTCAAAACTTGAAACATACATATAAAAAGTAGAATTTTTTAACCTTTTTTAAATGATTCAAAAATACTCCAAATTTCAAACAAATGTTAAATTAAAGCTTATGTAAAAAAATAATTTGCCCTGACACCTTATAATCTGAATGAAAACGGCTACTGAAAATAAAAAGTGTTATTTTGTGTAAGAAATGTTGTGTCATTTTTCGTTTATAATAATCTGTTTTAGTTTTTTGTAATAATTTAATTGAGAAATTTAACTTTTTTTCTTTTTTTATATAAAATATACTTACAATTTTGTTACATATTTGCTCATCTATACATATTTCTCTATGAAAATTAAAATACAAAACTACTAGTAATTAAAATATACTTAAGGAAATAGGAGTTTTTATTTTAGAATAATCCAACAAATCTTTTTAAAAATTGAACACTATCTACAGATCTGTATTTACATTTTTTATTCTGTTTAAATTAATACATCACCCTTAGCATTGTACATGTGTATTAAGCTTATCGATTTAATTTCATGATTTTCTATTATAAATTATAATTTTCTATTATTATAACTATTTTGATTAAATTTCCTAAAAATAATACATATTATAATTGGTTTATTAATTTGTTTTAAGTATCTATATTGTTTTATTTAATTTCAGATAATTAAAATTGACAAACATTACTGTATATTGATTAACTTTTATTTTGTATACGAAAATAACAATTGCATTAAAAAATATAGAGAGCATCCCTTCACTTATTATGAGCTACTTTGATCACTGCTTTACCCTCTCCCTTATGAACATAAAGGTATGGCAGTGAAAAAAGACCTCTACACTATCTGGAAGTTATGTGGAATCCTCCAGAATTTGTACTGCTAAAGGTTTTCGATGTGTGCCTCGACAAACTAAGTTGATGACCAAAAAAATAAATAGGTTCTCTTTTCACCAAAGAAATATTAAGAACACCACTGTACAAGTGGTAAAACTGTACAAGTCTTCGTAATTTATAATTCTGATCCTTAAAATTTCTGAATGTGGCACTAATGTTTTAACATGTTATTGATTGAATCAATCAATAACTTTTATTTTATAAAATTTAATTGTTTATTAACAGATTTTAAAATTTAGCTTATAAAGTGATCAGTACAACAACTATGCAAGTTTAATATTTAAAAAAATTTTAGATGAACAATTTAATTTATTTTTGTTATTGAAGTTTTGAAATGTAAGTGTAAAATTGAAGATATTCATTAGAATAAAGCACTAATATATTTTTTATTAATAACAATGATTAGGTGAATAAACTAAATATAAAATTTGTTATTTTATGAATACAGAAAATTCATATTTATTTGAACCTAAAAAAANCTTAAAATTTCTGAATGTGGCACTAATGTTTTAACATGTTATTGATTGAATCAATCAATAACTTTTATTTTATAAAATTTAATTGTTTATTAACAGATTTTAAAATTTAGCAAATTTCGTTATAAAGTGATCAGTACAACAACTATGCAAGTTTAATATTTAAAAAAATTTTAGATGAACAATTTACTTTATTTTTGTTATTGAAGTTTTGAAATGTAAGTGTAAAATTGAAGATATTCATTAGAATAAAGCACTGATATATTTTTTATTAATAACAATGATTAGGTGAATAAACTAAATATAAAATTTGTTATTTTATGAATACAGAAAATTCATATTTATTTGAACCTAAAAAAAGTGATTTCTTAAAAAATTGGATTTGTCTGGTTTTATGCAATAAGCCCTTCAATTATAATTGAAGAACCATAATTATAAAGTCATTCTACAATATTTTTGCAATAGATTGTAAAATTATTTTTAATTTAAAATAAATGCTTTATTAATTTATGCACTAGCCTGCATGACCTGGATATTGGAAAGATCCTTCTTAAAAATTGAAAAAAAAAGATATTTTTTTTTATAGAAAATTTTTAAATTTAAATGATTATTTTTATTAAAGAGTAATTTTTATTTAATACATGTTCAAACCTCATTTATAATTTTTTTGCAGTAAAAATCACCAAATGTGATATAGAGGATAAACGACAGATGACAAAATTAGATAAAATTAATTTAGCAAATGAAATGGGTAACACTGGAGTGGAAAATTGGCTAGAGAAGACATCAAAATATCATAGTCTAGAAATGGATGACGAAGATTAATGTTCTACTAATTATTTATTTTATTTTTTATTAATAAAAATAAAATCTTGGTAACAGAGATCACTGTTCAACAATCGGCCAGTATTTTCAAATATTTGCAAATGTCAAATAATGATATTACATAAATCTAAATCTTTTTATGTAGAGTTATACTTTATTAATTAAATATATTATATCGTTTTTTAATTTTTAAATGGTTAATTTTTACAAATACACTAAAATATGTTATTTTTGTAATATTTCAATAAAAGCTGTCAAAATTTTAATTTTTAACCTTTTTTATAATATTTTATTATAATAATATTATATTTATAGTTAAACTAATGAAAGTATGTGATTAAAATTAAAATTTAATAGTAAATAGTACATTTAATATACTATTTGTTATTGCCAAATATCAAAATTGGCATTAATGAATAACAATTTTGGAGAGAAATAATTTTTTTATGAAAAATCAGGGGTTTGGTTTTTAAAAATGTTCTAGATTTTTCAAATTTTTCTTAGTGATAATTTTTTATTTTGTACTTAGTGACATAAGATGGATTTTAATTTTTAGACTCCCGATCTCATAATGTCATGAATCAAACTAATAATTATTTAATAAACTTTCAAATTTTTTTATAGAACATTAGTGGGCTAGTTTAAATTACTAAAAAGTTATTTTTTCTAACCAAAAAACCAATTAGCTACCAGTATTTGTAATCCCTTTGTATTATACATGTATAATAACTCAAAAATTTGAAACTTTAAATGTTTAAATCTAATAAATAAATAAAGATATACAGTGACGTATTTAGGGGAGGGGGTTAGACGGGGCGATCGCCCCGGGCGGCATTTATTTTTGTTAATAACCAATAATATAAATAGGTTAATTTTTTTTATCAATAATATACTGAGATTAGACTTTGGTTCTATTGATAAAAGTGACAGATACAGCCCTCAAATTAAAAAAACATGCACATATGCAGTTTACGTTCCTTGTTCAGCCCACTTGTTGAATTTGGTTGACGAATGTGCAGCAAGTTGTTGTACTTGGGCAAATATCTTTTTTATTTTAATTGAATATATATGTTTATTTCTCAATTTCTATCCATAGATAGAATATCTTATCTATATTTTTAAAAGAATCTGGGAACGTATCAATAAAAAGACTTTTTGATACTCTGTGGTCGGCTTGACATGATGCATGTTTAAGTATATCACAAAATTGGGAAGAAATCATTAAAGCATTAAAACAAATGATTAAAGATCCATCCGAAAAAACAAAAAACCAGTGCGAGGCAAGAGGGATTTTAAAAACATTTAATAGCTTAGAGATTGGAATTTTAATAACAGTTTGGGGAGATATATTACAACAATTTAATAAAGTAAACAAAATTTTTCAAAAAGTTACAATTGATTTAGAAACTGTTATATCAATGTATAACTCTCTTATCCAATATATCCATGATCTAAGAGACTGTTTTGATCATTATGAAGAAATTGGAAAAACAAGATCTGGAATCAATGAATACAAAACTAAGAGAAAAAATAAAAAACTGAAAATTGAAGAAGTTGATTTTAATTCTAAAGAATCATTTAAAATGAACAGTTTTATTGTAATCATGGACTCCTTACTTATATAGTTGAGAAAAAGAAAAATTACATATAACCTAGTAAAACTTTACGGTCGAGAATGACAGATGAACGACTGAACAGTATAGCTATATTAAATATTGAATCAGACATCACAAAAAGTTTAGAGTATGATGATATAATTGATTAGTATAGTTCCTCTAAAGTTCGTAAAAAAATAATATGAATTGTAAATATAGTGGGTTATGATAAAAAAATCACTGTATATAGATTATTATTTTCTTAAAAAAAAAAAACGAACAAAAAAATTCAAAAACATATTATAATTATTAATTAGTTATTTATTTATATTNTTAAACTCTGCTTTCTTTTTTTACTAACTTTATTTAACTTCTAATGGAAGCAAGTCCTTTTATATGTAATTGTTATTTAAATGTCTTGTAGTATGTTAAGTATACGCTTGTTAGGGAAAAAAGTAAAAAAAAATTTGTGTGGAGGGCGGAAAAAAAATTAGCACCTGGGCGCCAAATTTCTAAATACGTCTCTGAGGTTATATTAAAAATTCAAATGTCATTTACTATTAAATTAAAAACTCAAATATTTTTTTGATTCAAAATATGTGTTCTCATCTAAAAAAACAAAGTTGACAACCTTACAAGGCATAAGAGATGAACATAGAAAGTATTACATAGTTAATAATTCAATAATAATGTGTAACTAAAGATAACTAAAAAAATGTTTAAATTATATTTATTCTGTAAGTAATTGAGTGGGTTATGATAAAAAAATCACTGTATATAGATTATTATTTTCTTAAAAAAAAAAAACGAACAAAAAAATTCAAAAACATATTATAATTATTAATTAGTTATTTATTTATATACATTTTAATTTAAAATAATTTAAGAGATGTCAGCTTTTTGTCTCCCAATCTTAAACGCAGATACGATTTTATTAGTTTTAATTCCGAAAAACTTCTCTAGCCACTGACAACAATAACAGGAATTGTTAATAAAATTCTTAAGAATATCCAGATATTTGGGAATAGATTAATTGTATTAGATTATAACATATATTTCAATATTGTTTTTGAAGAAGATACATCTTTTGGTAATACAGTTTTAATATGTTTTAACTCGACGCGTAAATCTATTCTGTTGATATCATTTTAACCTTCATTTTTAAGTGTGTATGTAAATCTATACAATGTTTTACCAAAATATCATGTTTAGATAAATCAGAAATATTATACAAAAATTACCATGTATTTTTATGGGCTTTCAACTATTCAAAATGTGACACTATTGAAGTTACACTTATATCCATAAGACTATAAAAAAAAATCTCTTTTAAATTGTTCTTCTAGAGTAAGCTTATATTTGTTTAAGCTTTCATATTGAAATTGTCTTTTAGTTAATCTCAGTCTCTTTGGTTTTAAACTCATTTCCCTATTTAGAGTTTCAGCAATATTTTTAGTAAATCAAACAGTTTAAATGTTTCCAGTATTTCTATATGAAATATTATAATTCAAACAACCTTTAACAATTGAAGGTACTGTGATTATATTGTCGTAATACACTCGTCACTATCACAATATGATACAACAGAGGGCTGCTCTGTTTGTGTCCATAATAATGGTCATTCAATTAGTCTTTCATTTAAAATTATTAACACTTTTATTTATGAATTATATTCATAAGCTAAGAATAACATAATTGTTTTTTTCTTTATGAAAATGTATAAACTATATTTGTCAGTTTTTTTTAATCTTATCTTAATAATAAAACACAATTTGTAAACCCTAAAATTATATATAAAAACTAACTATAATAATGTTATATAAAGTGTCAAAATGATTTGTATATTATTCACATGTATTAATTTATATATTTAATGTATTAATTCATATATTTTATGATATTTTGTATATTAATTTATATATTTTATAATTATTTGACAATAAAATAATAAAATTGCGAGAATGGCACAATGATGATTGTTCGGGGATAAAAAATACTATAAAAGAGCTGAGTGCTGAGGCCTTGAGAGAGTCTGTCTCCAGATATTCATTGAGCTATTCGAATCGCGTTCTCGACATCGATACGTAAAGTTCGTAATCATCATTTTCGAAATTCTTACGTGTTAATTTTTGAACTAAACATTTGAGTTCGTATTATTTTGTTATTTTTATTACTTGATACTGTTAAAAGTTATTATAAGAACAAAAAAAATCATCAGGTAAGACTTCAAATCAATAAGAATCCATTCTTATATTATCTTATAACTCAATTATTTAAAATTAATAATCTGAGTACGGAACGATAAAACAATAGATCAAATAATTATATTAATCTTTAAACTTCCATTAATTATTACTAAATAGTTCGTACCTTATACATAATCATATTACATGGTATTCGTGAGATATTGGCCACCGCCTCTTCGTTGCCTCAGAGTATTATTACAGGTACTTACTAGTTGAGTCATTTATTATATCTCTATAAGAGGAACCTTAATTATTACTTTTTATATCTAATTGTCTTTATTGTTCTTAACCCTCGGAATCTTCAACCCCGACACAACCTCGTTGCTCACCAATTGACCAAATCCCCAAACATACATAAACTTGGTCAATATACACAATACGTATATAAACACCTATCTATATATTAATTTTTGTATTATTACGATATCCGTAGTGATACCTTGCATTGTGTTCCTGGCTTTATTGATTTGAATAATAAATCGTACCAAACAATAAGTGATTTAAGTAATTCAAATTCACATAGGTTATCGGCTAAGGATATACGCTTCGTGAAAAAGACTAGTTTTAGCATTTGGTGAATTAAATTTTTTTATTAATGTATTAACTAGGCTATTTATTTCATAACACATTGCTTTAACGGCATTATACGGCTTTCCCAACGAGTTGTACATACTTGCTTAACAGTTTATTGCTAAACAATAAAAATATNTTTGGTGAATCAAATTTTTTTATTAATGTATTAACTAGGCTATTTATTTCATAAAACATTGCTTTAACGGCATTATACGGCTTTCCCAACGAGTTGTACATACTTGCTTAACAGTTTATTGCTAAACAATAAAAATATTTTCCTTTTAAGAATCTCCTAACAGTTAAAAGAAGTCGAAAATNATTTTTCTTTTAAGAATCTCCTAACAGTTAAAAGAAGTCGAAAATAATACGTATATACATAAAATTAATCCAAATAAAGAAATTGATCCTTTAGAGGCTGATGCAGCATCACCAAAAAATAAATAAAAATAATGACAACTACATACAATATAAAATATAAAATATACAATATAAAATTTTACTTTAGCAACAATTTCCTCTGTCTATCTATAGCTTTTTATTTTGTACTCCTTTTTTCTATTTAAAAATAATTATGGGTTTCAAAAAAAAATAAAAATTAAATAAATCCCATTGTAGTACTGCAATTGGTAACTGCTATTATTCTAACAAATACTAAAATATTATGTACATTGTACTTGTTTAAAATGAAATTATATTTTGTATTGAAAAACAATTTATTGAATAAAATATATAATTTAATTTTAAAGTGTTTTCTTGTACTGGCTATCAATGACGTATTACCTGTCATAATATAATAACACAATGTTCACTTTTGCTATATTTAACAACAATAATATGTCGGGTACCGATGAAACCAATATTAAATAAACTTGAACTTACCTTATAATTCTTAATTATAGAAACAGTTGAAGTAGAGAAAAACAGTGAAACGTTAAACTTGTAAAACGTAAAACAATATTGTACAAAACTTATTAATAACGCATGACACTAGTACATAAATATATAATCAAATAAGATATTATTCATACATATTTTATTACAGAAATAAACGATAATGTTTATCGCAACAAATCGTGTTGTGTCAGTCGTTATCTGATGCTATTAATATCGAAATTCTAAATAAATATTGATTATGAACGGCTACTGACAATAATAATCATTTATTGTGTATAAACTAAATTTTTATATTCCTACCATAATAAACAATACTCAATAGAATAGATAGGATATTAGAATTATATTCTTATAATTTTTTCAGTTTTAAAATTATTATATTGAGACGCCCCCCCCCCTTTCAACAAGCGCCCTGGGTATAGGCCCAGGTCAACCACACGTAACGCCGATCCTGGCCCTATCCATATATTAATTATTTATGGTTATTTTACATTTTAAAATTCCCGCCACTTATACCTCCCTAAGCGCTGTCTGACGGAATTCGTTTGTCTTATTACTTAGAATTGGAAAATCAATGAAATCTAAATGTTAGTTCACATACAGACTATAGTTCGTGGTTCAGACACCAACCTGCATCATTGAAACCTACAATTTATTTGCGTATTAAAAATATAAATAACATAATTCTACAAATATTTTATATTATTGTTTTTTCGAAAATGTTAATTGTATATAAATATATGCAATATTTTTTTTGTTATCGGTAAAGATTTATTCGAAATTAAAATTTTAAGTAATAAATTTCTGTTATTAATATAATGTTAAACAATGATAAGCTACGGTTTACAGTTTTTGTTACAATTTAACAAGTAAGTAGAATTAAAAAGTATAAATGATTTATTTTTTTAAACTCTAAATTATTATACTTAATTACAAAACCTAATTTTTTGTTTAAAGTTTTCCCAATTTGAAGATTAATAAATTATACTATATAGTAATTAGTATATTCCTATAATTTATGATTAAAAATTAATAAAAATACCCTCTAAGATCTACGGATACTATTCATGACCTTTACTTGTCAATACAACTTTTGATGATAACGGAAACTTTTAAAATGAATGAACGTTACTCCATAACTACAAAAAAATATTTTGAGTCAATTTAATGTACTTAAATAAATAAATAAATAAAATTTTTATGAAGACCAGGACTTCATAAATTAAAAAAAAAATGAATAAGCGTGGAATAAATGGTGACATTAATTATATATACAAGAAACATTTTTCTCGCTTTATTGTACTCTAAAATAATAGTGCCTGTATTTTGTAATACTTTTTACTAGATTAAATAATTGAAAATGTAACTTAATTAATTAAATTAGTAGTTTACTACTAAAATAAAATGTTATCTCAATTATCAAATTACTTTTTTGTTGTTTGAAAATTAATTTTGTTTAGTAACGAACAATGCATATTACTTTAATCCCCATTAGTAATTTATATATTATGTAATAACACATAAAGTTAGTAGACGCCTTATTGTTTCTAAATCAATGTAATTAATAATTGTTTCTAATAATTTTGCATCTATTTTACTCAAATTGTACTAAAATTTTAAAGATTCTATAAATTAATTATATTTATTATATATAATACATATCTTACAATAATTAAGAGGTTGTTTTGTAGTTTATCAAGTACGCATTACAAAGATTTTTTTTTCAACGATCAGCATTAATGGGCCCCTTTGAAACTATTTTAAGACATTACTCCAGGACGGACTGGTATGAACACCGGAACTAGAACCTTAGTTTTTAATCAGTTCGAGTTTGGGTTCGGATCATATAAAAAGTTCGACATTCTTTTTATACTTAAAATATAAATATTAATTTTGGAATGAAAATTATAAAGGTTGCGGTACTAATTAATAAAAATTATATTATTTAAAGTCTATGATTTTCTATAGTTTAAGCTATAATTTGATGATTTGAACCTAGCAATTTAATGAATTTAATGAAAAGTTTTTTTTGAGCTGCTTCATATAAAATACACAGGAATTTGTTGAACACAGTATAATTTTTGATCATTTAAAATAATCAAACTACTAATAAACATAAAATCATCTTTTCTGTATTAGTTCAATAAAAAATCTTAATATTTTTGTTTTTGAACAAAATTTTCCTTTAACTCAAAATAGGAATATTTTAGAGTTAGATTGTTAGATACTATGAAATTTTTAAATGACCCTCTTATTTTTAGATTTACCATTTTCGAATTTACCAATCAAATCTAATGTTTTTTTTTGAGAAAATGTTAAACGTTTTCTCTTCGTATATTCCTCAAGACAGTTCGTTATTATATACATATTTAGTTCAAAATTCATACGCTAATATGATTTTTATAAGAAATTGGTTATATAAATTATACATTTCGGATAATATTACAATGTTTTATTCAGAACCAATGGACAGTTTTTCCCTTATTGCTTTTAGTCATGCAATACATATACAAAATATCATAAATATTATTATTTCTTAAATACAAGTTTGCATTTAATTTATAGCCTATAGAATAAAAGAATAAATTACTATGATGTGAAAGATTGCTCAAATAATTTTTTAAAAGTTACAAGTTTAGGAATAAACAATGTAAATATTTTTATATTATCGATAAAAAATAAAAAAAGAATTATACTAGCTGTTTCGGCGTGATCTCTTACGACTAAAAGATCTTCGATAAATTAAATGAAACATAAAAGAATGAAAAAATAGATATGCGTATATTATATGTACGCGAGCGGTGCGCTTTACAAAGGTAGACTAACTTATTTTAAAACCGGACAACTATGCAGTCGCCGAACAACGATAAGATAAAACAACAATAGCTACACTTATTGTGTAGGCCTAAACACTAGTATACTACCTAAAAATTAATCAAATATTGAAATTCTTAAAATATTTACAAAAAATAATGAAGTATACTTTTTTAACACTACAATAATACATTTGTTTTATTATTAGCGTCCTGATAAAAATTAAAAAAAAAATAACAAATTTTGTTACTTTATGTTAGTTCTTGATTAGTTATTAATATTTTCCGACAAATTTCGATATTTGATTGGAAAAGTATTTCTAATTATTAAACAAAATATTTGTATACACAGTATAGTATAATTATTCCTTTGAATTAACCTTTGAAGTAAAAAATATAGTCTGTTAAATTATTTACATTAATTTCTTTGATAATAATAATTTATGTTTCTGAATAAACAATAATGTATTCCGATTAAAACAAAACTATTTGTTGAGTTTTTAAGACAGTACTAACATAATTAAAATTTAAGTATTTAAAATTATGATTTAATATTATTGTATGCTTATCCAAAATTCGTAATATTCGACTTTTATAAACATAAAAAATAAGAGCATATTTATGAATTACTAGATTCATATTTACTTAATCAAAAACACAACCCAAGAGTAAGAAATTGTAATCCCATGTGAAAAATATGGATTTAAAAATTAATTTTATGAATGTTATTTAAGAAAAAAAACTAAATAATTTATTTTACAAATCTCTGTAAAAATACTCTGATTGTATTAAATTTTAATATAAAGAATTCGGTAAATCGTACAATTGTGTTAATATAATTATGCAAATTTTAACTGTAATTGAAATTCTTTCTTTTCGGTAATTACTATAACTTATAGAAGAGTAAAGTAGATTAAAAACTTCTTAGTATTTAATTTACACACAGCTATATAACGTTTTTCGTCAAAGTTATTTATTTATTAGTATAAATAAACAGTCAAAAAATAATTTTGAAACACGATTTTTCAACTGATAAATTTTTATTCATTAGCATCACAATTTTTTGAATCATTATTTTGAATATCACTAAAAAAAAAAATTGTTGTATCAGTAATGGAGATTTTCTATAATTTCCAGATAACTGTTGTTATGGACTTGTCCTTATTGACATTTGCGCGTGAACTAATAATTAATTAAAAAGGATATTTTCACTGGTTTGGTTGCAAAATTCGGTAATGGGGATTCTCAATAAAATTTTCACCGTCAAACAGTCTAATGATAGTCTGTTTGCTATGTCAACTACTACTGTTTTCATTACAACGTTACAAGATGGGACTATTGGTAATATTATTAGCAAGGATAGTCACGACCGTGAGTCCTGTAACTGATACAATTTACAATGGTACTGCCTCATCGGAGTAATCAAACAGCGATTATTATTATTACTACGATAACAATTCTGAAATGGCTTCTTTTATACCGCTAAATGGTACAACTCGACTGGAAGAACGATTTGAAAAATTAGCCTGCGAATGGATACCTGCTCAACAAAGTGTGTTTCAGTTTTCAAACTTTTGTTTTCTCGCTGCCTTTATAGTTCCAAGAAGCTATAAGCTTAGTGTATTGTCTCTAAGGTAATAATTTTACTGAATCATTTAACTATATTGGTCCCAGAGAATCAAAATTCAAATCAATTTGTCATTTTTATTTAATTTTTTTATAATACAATGTTTAATGCACTTTTAATGTTAAATAAACATTTTTTAACATTATTAAACCTTAAATATTGAAAAATGCTATATAGGATAGTTGGACTACGCTATATATTATTTTTATAAAATAGTATATATATTATTATATAAGTGCTAGATCTCTTAGTTCCTCCTAATTGCCCTAGTGATCTCCATCTCGTATTAATAAGGTATTTAAATGATTTTATCATTGAAAAATCAACTTTTGCTATGAAATAAATTATATAATGAATATAATATAATAATATTTGTAATATAATTTTGAAGAGTATGACTTATATGATGATATATAATTAATAAAAATCACATACTTTTTTTTTGTTATACATTAAAATAATTTTACATATAGTCAACGTTAAAAAAGAAGAGTAACTTTTAAGAAACAAATATAACCGTAATAAATTGTAAAAATAAATAAATAAGAATGGAACATTAGATTGTATTTTAAATATTATTATTCATTGATAAGATTGAATTTGATATAATTCTTTTTATATTTCAAGTTAAAAAACCAACATAGTGAGAACGCAGTATAAGTGGGATAAGTATAGATAAGTTGGATAGATGATATCGAACATTCATCAACATCAATATCATAAAAAACGCTTTATTCCGAATCCATTAAGTTTTTTGTTGAAATAATACAATATAAACTCATAGAAAAAAATACATTTTGTATTTATTAAAAATGAAAAAAAAAAAATCAAAAAACCTTCATTGAAAATGATTTTTAATATAAAAATTTAGATTCGTGGTTCAATTATGGGTAATAAATCGCGAACAATCTCGTAAAATCGGTGTATCGGTCAAAAATCGAATATAAAATGACACCCCTATGCACTGGGGACCATTTTTTCTGGGACCCCTTAATTTTTTCTTTGCAAAAATGTACTGTTCTGAATACGGTTTTGATTATTGGTCAGGGGTACTTGGTGTGCATATATAACAAAAATGTATGAGTTATATAAAAAAATTGTTTGTTTTTTTAGGGCTTCACTATTTTTAGGATTTATATTGTCAAGTATATGGGCTTCCACGGATGTCTGTGCCATGGATGCACTAATTTGGTACTGTTTAATGGCCTTGGTGAATGGAGTGTATACCGTCAAGCTATGCAAAAAGTTTATGCCTCCAACATTATCAACAGAGTTGATGGAACTGTATCTACGAGTGTTGAAACCGCTTAAAATTAGTCAAAAACATTTCCGAGAGCTTACTCGTGAAGCATCTATTATGGAATTGACTCCTGGACAATGTTACGCTGTTGAGGATGTCACTGCCAGCAATGAACGCTTATCAATTTTACTCAGGGGCAGGTAAATTATTCAAAAAATAGTAATAATTTAAATTGAAGTAAATATAGAACTCGAAAAAATTTGAGTCATGTTTTATCTAGGGGCGTAGTAAATTCATTACTTTAAGTGGGTAAAAATATCAAATGACCGACTTACTGACTTTTTAATTTCAATTTTGCTGACTATCTTATCAAACATTTTTTTTTGGTCTACTGAGGTAATTTCAGGGTGATAAGCTACTTTTTTTATCTCCCTTTAGTACACCCTAGTTTTATCTAATAATTTGGGATATTGATTAATTAAATTTTATACTACGTTCAACAATATTAATGTTTACGCAATATAAATGACATGTTCATGATAATGCCCTAAAACTTTATTAAAAAACATCATCTAAATCTTTTTTAACTTAAATATTTTATATTAGTTAAAAAATTTAAGATTATTTAATTTATTTTAAATTTAACACTTTGATTATTATAAATTAATTTTTTTAACAAAGTTTTTATAATTAACAAATAAAGCATTGATTGTTCTAACTCTTATAGAGTAATTTTGTAATGTTATTGTATAACAAGAATCGAGAGAGTAAATGCTCTTCGTTATAAATCTTCTTCTTCCTCGCCTTAATCCCAACTGCTTGGGGTCGGCCACCCTTATCCTAAACTTCCACTTGATACGATCTACCACATCATCTACGCTCATATCAGCTGTCTTCATATCGCATTCAATAACATACCTCCATCTCTTTTTTATTCTCCCTCTATCTCTTCTTCCTTCAACATTCATTTCTTACGGCTTCCGATTCTTCTCTTCTCATAACATGACCAAACCATCTAAGTCTATTTTCTTTCATCTTATCCACGATTGATGCTACACCTATACTCCTTCTTATATGCTCATTTCTTATTCTATCTTTTCTAGTCACTCAACTCATCCATCTAAGCATTCTCATCTCTGCTACACTCATTCTCTGCTCTACTTTCTTATCAACCACCCAACACTCTGATCCATACATCATAGCTGGCCTTATTACAGTCTTGTAGAATTTACCTTTCAGCCTCATTGGAATTCTTTTATCGCATAAGACGCCAGACGCTTCTCTCCACTTCAACCTCCCGTACTTAATTCTATGTCCTACATCCTGGTCCTTACCACCACTCTTTTGCACAACTGTCTCTATATAATCAAAACTCTCCACCTCTCCAATCACGTCCTCGCCTATTGTCACTGATCTCCTCATTTCACCTACTCGTATTCTCCTTTGTTAAACTCTTGCTTTATATACTCTGTCTTACTTCTACTTATTCTTAAACCCTTTTCTACAAGAGCTGATCTCCACACCTCTAGCCTTTGATTAATTTCCTTCCTATTTCCTCCTATTAACACTATATCGTCAGCAAACAACATACACCACGGCACCTCTTCTTGTATTTCTCTAGCAATTTCATCCATCACTATAGAGAATAAGTATGGGCTTAAAGCAGAACTTTGGTGCACTCCTACTCTTACCCGAAAACCTTCTGATATTCCTCTTACGCTTTTTACCATAGTACAAGTGCCATCATAAATATCTTCTATTATATTAATGTTCCTTTTCGGGACTCCTTTTCTCATTAATGCCCACTTTAAAACTTCTCTCGGTACTCTATCATACGCTTTCTCCAAACCTATAAATATCTTACACAGCTTTTTCTTCTTTTCTCTAAACTTTTCTATTAGTTCTATCTCACACAATATACTGGCTCCATTCTTGACTTACCAGGCATAAATCCAAACTGGTTTTTAGATACCGATGTCTCATTTCTTATTCTCTTATCTTTAACCTTTTCACAAATTTTCATACTATGACTCATAAGCTTTATGCATCTATAATTTCTACACTCCTGTATGTCACCTTTACCTTTAAATATCAGCACTACAATACTATTCCTCCATTCATTTGGAATTTTCCCTTCTAATAAGATATTATTTAAAAGTTCCTTCAACCACCTTATGCCAACACCGTCTAATAAATAATACTCTTCGTTATCAATATAAGAAAATACATATATAATACAAAATAAAAATTAAATTAGATATTATATCCAGTTTACGATGATAGGTTAAATATACCTTTCAAATTTTGATATTATTTAAAAGTATTTTTGATATATTCATTATTTCCGAAAATTATAAACTATATATATTTAAATATGTATATAAATCGTGTACCTATTCTTTTAAAATTTCAATTTAAACGTTTTAATGTTACGTACACGACATGGTTATGTAGGATCATCCATTTCAAACATCTATAATATTGTTAATGAATATTATTTTATTTATATTGATAGGTACATTTTTGATATTTCTGAAATATTTTATAGCATTTTAATAAAAGTCATTTATCTTGATTTCTTGTCCATAAACAAACTTATAATTCCCAATATTTGATGTTATTTATTTTAGCACATTAATTTGATCTGTTTCATCGCAGTTTAAATTTGAGGATTGAAGATATGTAAATAAAAATAAATATATCCTAAAAAGGTAATACTTAAAATTAATAGTTGAGCATTTGACTTGTAGTTAACTTGTAGATTTTTCATTTTTAATTAAAATGTCGTATAATACTATTTATAATTATAGAACCTAGGCACATTTATACTGATAAAACTAAATGTATAGGTATGCTCATCTAGATAAAAATATAGGTTTCAAATATATCATTTAATTAAAGTTAATTAAATTTTTAAGGCATGAATAGTTTCACTAGAGAACTTAAACCTCAATCCTTGTAAAAATTGTATGTTTTAATTATAAATATCATAATTTATTTTTCTCTATAACATATAATAGTTTATTATAAATTATTAATTTGTATTTTTTACTTAAATTTAGATTCAACGTGACGTGTGAAGGTACTCAATTACATCACATTAATGCGTATCAATTTGTTGACTCACCTGAATGGATGGCTTCATACCTCATGCATAGCGAACCATTGTTTCAAGTAAGTTTATAAGTCATTATTTTCAATGACTTAGAAATATTAAAAATAATTTTTGTATATAATAAAAATTATGTTAAATTATAACATTCTCATATAATTTTTTTTTCAATTTATTCTCGATTATTGAATTATAACGAAATATCATTTAGAATAATAGTTCTTTATATCACACAATACCACAATACAAATATAATGATTCTGTCTTCATGATTTACTCAATTACTCCCAAAATGAAAATAATTTTTTTCTGTTAATGTTGTGTAGTGTACGGGATAAGATGACAAATTCGGTATTTCTCAAAATCAATGACACTCTAGCTAGCATGTATGCATCTTACAGTACACTTTGTTACTCTCTAGTACTAACACACGTATGCATGTGTTAATTTTAGTTGTAATTAAAAAAATTATACTTAGCGTATTTTATATAATTTTTGAACATTACAACTTTAGGTATTACTGAATATTTATTAGTAAAGGACATATTTCTTTTTCAATAGTTTTGAATATAAAGTTATTCAATTGTTTTTGTCATCATACCCGTAACTGGGGAAAGATGACAAAAATGATAAATTTTAGGAAAATCATATTTCACCTCTTAGAAGATTAAACAGATAATTGAAAAAATTTATAGTATTGGATATTGAAATATCTCTCATGCAAATATCAGGTTTTAAAAATATTCACTGAAGTCAGGAAAAATCGTATAATCTTAACCTCGCTATCTTGAATAATTGAGTGGTTCATGGTATCAAATGTTAGTCCATATTATGTAAAGTACCGAAGTAAACATTTATTACGTTATTTACTGTACGCGATTTCTTTCCCATTGATTAACATTTAACGCGCTTTTTACAGAAATTATTATGTCTAATCTTTAATACAAAAGTTAGAAACATTAACGTATGTTAACTACAAGTGTTTGATGGTTAGCCAAGTTAAAAGTGATAACAATTATTAATTTGCATGATTCTATAATTGATATCATATTATTATAGGATATTCATTGTTAGGAGATTTGATCATACATTCACTTATTCACTATTATTCACGTTTAAATTTATGATATATGAACCTATTCAATTATAAACTTAACATATTTTAATTATCGTTTTTATAATTTTTTTTAATAAACTTAATTTTACTACTACTTGTTTTTTCATATCAATTATAAAGGCTTATTTAAGTGTTAATAATTTCCATGGAAAATAAATCGCGTACTGTTACCAGTAAATAACGTAATAAGTATTTACTTCAGTACTTTACATAATGTGGTTGTCCATATTATGTAAAGTTAATTTGATACCATACAAAAATTGTAAAAAAAATTAATATTTAACAAACTTCAAAATGCTGTATAAACGTAACTACTGAATTAATATAAGAGTTTTTGGTATCAAAATTTTTCTTTAAAACTTATTTATAAAATGGCCATCTTCAAATCTTAAAAATAATTTTAATAAAAAAATTAATTTTTATAATATTTTTTGTAATTGCGAAAAATAACATAAAACATATTTTAAATATAGTTCTATATTGTAAAAATTTATTTAAAAAAAAGGATAAAATATTATGTAGATCATAAGTTATATTAGTTAGATCTGATCCACTCTGTAATATATATATATATATTTTTTTTTTTATTAGGTTACTATAACGGCTGCTGAAGATTGCGTTTATTTATGTTGGCAGATTCCAAAACTCAATCGAATTCTTCAACATAGACCTCAACTTCTTGCGGTTTTTTCAAGTATAATAGGTAAGTCATCAGTATATTAAAGTGTCATACATAATATTGTAAAATATATGATTATTTGGAAACTAAAAAATATATATAGCCTAATCATAAAATTTTGGTATATTTAAATACATTGGACAGATTTTAATATACTTTTAATTTATGGTTTAATTTTTGAACTAAGAAAATTTCTGTTTATTGTATAAAGATAAAAAATAAAAGTTTAACTTATACAATATTTTAGCTTCGATACGAAACTGATAAGGTATTAATTTTACTATGATGTGTTTTTTATTATTATTTTCTTTTTTGTGTCTGTTACCACTTTTTCTCAGCTCTCACTGAACTGATTTTTTTTAACGGTACATCAAAAGATCGCAAATCGTATCTAGTCGAAGACTTCATCCTCATAAATTGAAAAAAATTTCCCTCGTCCCCCATAAAGGGGGGAAATATCCAAAAAAATTACAAATTTTAAAATCGCTAATTTTCGAAATTTTTTCAATTTTTTTTACTTAAAACTTTTTCAAAAATTACCAAATCAATATAATTTTTTTTATAGATACATGAAGTCTTAACTTATCATTTGATATGTTTTTTTATAAAGTTGACCAATTACGTGCCCATAGGGAGGATTCAAAATGACAAATTTTTCAACTTAACTTTTGAAAATGTTCCAGAAATACTGACGCTATTATATATACTTTAAATTATAGCTTATGTAATATACTTTAATATGGAAAAAAAAAAATTCGAGCTTTATTTTGTCTTCACGGTGAAAATGGCTATCGTATGCTATTTTTGTGTTAAAATTTTCGATTTTTTATTTTACATTTTTAACTTTATAATGTTATAACTTTTTTAAAAATGTATGGATCAATACAATTTTTTTATGAGAAATAATATTTATATACTTCTTTCATTCAACACACTTTTCTTTAAATCGGACCATTTCTCTTAATACAGGGGCGGTTCAAAACTTAAAAATGCATATAGAAAGTAGAACTTTATCAACTTAATTTTTGAAAGTGTTCCAGAAATACTGACATTTTTACATATATTTTAAATAAAAGCTTACATAATATATTTTATTTTGGAATAAAAAAAAAACCCAGCACGGGGGGGTCGTGGCACAGTGATGACGTAGCATAGTTGGGTCAAGTATAATGATATCTCACAGTAATTAAAATCACTATCATAAAAAACGCTTCGATAAAAATCTTTAGATAGTGTTTAATTTTAAAAAATTGGTGGATTATTCCAAAAGCTACATTATCTGCTATTTCCTTATTAATATCCTGATTAAGATAAAGTATGTCGAATGAAAAAGGGATTATTAAAAAATATCATTTCTCATAAAAAAATTGTGTTGATCCATACACTTTTTAATAAGTTATAGCATAATAAAGTTAAAAATTTTAAATACAAAATCGAAAATTTTCACACAAAAGTAGCATTTGGTAGCCATTTTCACCGTAAAGATAAAATAAAGTCCGATTTTTTNAATAAAGTTAAAAATTTAAAATACAAAATCGAAAATTTTCACACAAAAGTAGCATTTGGTAGCCATTTTCACCGTAAAGATAAAATAAAGTCCGATTTTTTTTTTTCTTGATAAAATATATTACATTACCTTTAATTTAAGNTTTTTTTCATGATAAAATATATTACATTACCTTTAATTTAAGATATATATAAAAGTGTCAGACCTTCCGGAACACTTTTAAATGTTAAGTTGAAAAAGTTGTATTGATTAATTATATTTTATATTATATTATATTACATATTATATTTTATTAATATATTAATTATATTGATTTATTCATTTTTGAAAAAGTAATGGCAGTTTTAAGAAAAAAATTTTTCGAAAATTACCGATTGTAAATTTCCCCACTTACGGGAACGAGGGAAATTTTTTTAATTTTTGAGGGTAATGTCTTCGATTAGATACGATTTGTGATTTTTTGACGTATCGTATAGTGGTCCAAAAGTAAGGTTTTTTTTATGATATAATATAATAAATAAAATTGGGTGTGTTGATTAATTAATTTGAATTTTTGAGCACTTGAATAAATTTAATTATTTTACTATCGGTTACTATAATTCAGTTTGTTTAATATTATTGGGGTCTTGGAGTCCGAGGGTTTTAGAGAATGGCAATACAATTTGATAAAAGGGTTATAATAAATATTGAGATTTAATGTGTATATCAAATTTATAAACTTTGGTGAATCATTTGAATAGTCTCACGTTTCAAAGGCACGAGCTTAGGTCGGCAACTATGAAACGTAATAAGAANAGCTTAGGTCGGTAACTATGAAACGTAATAAGAAAATGCGTAGGTACGATATTTGGTCAAGCACTTCGAACGCATTTAATAATTCTCCTGACAAACCAGTTAATAAATTTAGTATGTGTAAAGATAAGTTAATTATTATTGTTTTGTCATTTTCTTCACGGATTAAATAATTTCTAAATTATTGGAATTAAAATGTATCACCTACTTTATACTGTTTTTGCGGAATTGAAATGAATAAGACTGACAAGTTTTTCTTTCTGAATATTTGAGAGACTGGTGGTCTATTGCTTCATTTGACTCTTGGCTTGAGAAGTGGAATGTCCCTATTTTATAGCTTATTACAACTTTTTATATGAAATCTATGATCTATATATGTCATCAAAATGTAATAATTGACCACCAGTGCTCTTATCTTTATTGAAACTAATATTATAAGCAGGGATAATATATTACATTGGTTATGGTACATTTGATTTTTCTTAGGGATACTGTTACTTAATACATTGACTTTGTAGATTAATTTACAGTGTTTATATTTATGATACAGATATTAATCTTAAACTGAACAAGTACATACATTGTATTAATTACATCAGTGATTATGCCATGATATCAATTTAAGATAATTATTTTGTTTTATGATAAATTTTTGCGAATAATATTAAATTTGAGCGATGAACGGTATCACAACAATCGTTGAAAGAAATTCGTTCGGCGAGAGCTGAGAAAAAGTGGTAACAGACACAAAAAAAACACATCATAGTAAAACCAATACCTTCTCAGCATCGCATCGAAGCTAATAAGATATTTGTAAAAAAATTATTTTTTATATTTTTAATTTTATAATGCAATTATAATTGTTTAATTTTATAAACAATTTTTAACACGCTTATATTAGTTTCACATGTATGTTTATTGTAAGTTTGTAACTCTCCACGTACCACGTGTTATTATTCTCGCGTACCCCGTCGTCTATGACCTTGAGACTAGACTGTCGTAACGCATTCACTCCATCCTGTTCATCACACGCCGACAACACTATTCCTGTATAATTTTTTTATGACAATATTCGCAGGTATATAGCCTTTTATATCAATAGTAGTAAGACACAGTTGTGAGTTTATAAATACACTAACTGCCAATACAGAGATTATAGCTATTGATAGTCATAACTTACAATAACCACTCCGTGACTGTAATAGCGATGTCATAAAAAACTAAAAACTAAAAAGTTAAAAATTATTTTAAACTTTTTAGTTCGATGTACTATAAAAGGGTGTTTTTTAGTTTTTTAAACTATATTTATTTTATGATAAATACTATTTATATACCTCTTTCATTCAGCATACATTTTTTTTAAATAAAACTATTTCCCTTTATACATTTATTTATTATTCATACATTACAATTATAAATCATAAGACTTGTTATCAGGATATCAATAAGGTAATAGGAGATCATGTAGCTTTTGGAATAATCCAACAATTTTTTTAAATTAAACACTATCTACAGATTTGCATTGAAGCGTTTTTTATGATAGTAATTTTAATCACTGTCAGATATCATTATACTTGCCCAACTTTGCCAAATAATAATACTTTGGAGTAAAAAATGTAGGTAGTATTCATTAGTTTAGGTTCATTATAATTGTATCTTAATTTATATAATATATTTCTTACCTATAATTTATTTATGATATCTTTGTTGTAACCCTTTAAATAATTTAACGTAACTAAACGAAAACAATGTATATTGTGTTGTATTGATCGAAATGGTTGTATTTTTCGAGCAGTTGCTACTTTTTAACTTAGAAGTCTTATGCGGTTTTTTTCTTAAATATTAGGTCTATTTTTTCAAAATAAGTATAAACCAAATCCCTAATACAGTATCCAACTTAGAATCTTTTAATGCTTCTAAAATGGATACTGCATATTTGCCTAGTTTTAAAAATGTATCATTATTTTATTATAATAACATAATTTTTTCATTTTCGCTGCATACATCCTTCTTTACCAGGAATTTTTTTTATGCGATTTTTTAACCTTAAATTTTATTAATATAATTTGATATGTGTAGGTAAAGATGTCACACACAAAATGTATTCCCTGAATGAACAGCTTGGACAAGCAAAGAGCTACGATGATCAAACACGCGCGGCTCACAATGATCATTGGCGACAAGCAATTTATCGGAGTGTCAGTTTTGATGCTTTGAATACAGGAACTAAAGGTACAGTTAGATCTGATGCTTGGAAGCGATACCGACAGCGCAAGACATCCATTTTTTCTTACAACAGTGATGGTAAGAAATTTAATAACTTGTTAATAGTATTTTCATATAAATAATACTTATTAAATTTAATGAAATACATTTTTGTACAAGAGTAATAATAAAAAATAATACTTTTAAATTGTAGCTTGAAGTTTAATCATATTGCATATTTTAAGATATTATTGTATCACGAAATTATGTAATAAGCCTTTTGGTACACTAGTTGTAGTGTAAAATATGATCATAAGCAAAAATTCATAAAACTACGAGGAACTTAGCTCCTTTTAACTTCAAATTAGCCCTTCATAAAATGTATATTACACTTTTGAATGATTAAATTTTTATCGAATATTAATTTTTTTATCTATAATTCTCAGTTTTAACTAAATTTTTGAGGTGATATAATTAAACTTATTAATTTATTGTGTGTTTATTTATGCTATCCAACTTGGGAGTAGTGAGAGGTTAAAAACAAGCCTACAATTATTACATAACTATAACCAACCTTTTATATTATTAAATAGTTGATTAAAAATTAATCCAACTATCTCAGCCGGTAACATGTTGTGTCTAGTGAGTCGAGGTATGTAAGGTTTGATTTCATTGTACTGGGCTTTACTGTATTTAGGTTTTTCGAGGTTCTGGCATAATAAATATATTTAGAGAGGTCGTTCAAACCTAAAAAAATAATAAACCTGTATTTTTGTAAAAAAAAAAAAAAAACGTAAAAAAATGTATCCAATACCCATATGTATCAAAATTGCATAATCAATGCGCCGTTTTACCAATTGTACTGTCGTTTATGCTAAGGGGTAAAAACTAATTTTTACTCGTATTTCAATTTTTTTTATTAATGTTAACAATACAAAAAATTTCTAATTGGCCTTGTTTGAAAGGGTTCAAATTAGCTTTTGAATGATAGCAAAAAAAAAATGTTGATCTACACCTGCTAAACAATATATAGCACATATTTTATGTAAATTATTGTTCGTATAAATGTTGAATTATGTTGTTCAGAACCGCAATTCAGGGGAAATGGGTGATATTTTTTATATCCAGCGTCAAAATTTTGGTGTAAATATAAAACTTATAATTTTGTACTCCTGTAATCATATTATAATTTAGAGTAGTACAAAATGTATTAATGCGGTCATGCTGTTGTACACTGTAAGAAAAGTTTTTCTTTTTTTTTTGAAGTTCTTAGACCGTGTTAAGTTTTTATATTGAATATAAAATATAAATTTTATTTTGCCGTAAAAAAATTTTTNATGCTGTTGTACACTGTAAGAAAAGTTTTTCTTTTTTTTTGAAGTTCTTAGACCGTGTTAAGTTTTTATATTGAATATAAAATATAAATTTTATTTTGCCGTAAAAAAATTTTTATTACCTGATTACCTTGCAGCTAAATGTGTGTATTAAAATTTATTATTATATGCAGATACATCACGAGGTCAAAGAAATCGAAAATGTTGGATTCCAATTGTGTCTGCTACACAAATAGCGACAAATACACCATTTATGAGCATGGATGGCCAATCAGGTACCACTTCAGGTACTGATGATGAAAATGAAATTATATTACCTGTACAATCTGGTGATATTCCACTTTATCGGCTTGGTGGAAAACAATCAATTGCACTAATTCCAGTTGTCATGCCAGTGGTACCAAACACCGCGGGACTAAATCATAATGCTCAACGACTAGCTTCAATGCGACGACATAGTAGCCATCATAGCAACAGAGAAGTTAAATTCAACGAGACAATTTTATAAAATTACAATTGTTGTATAGCATAAAATATGAATTCAGTATGCTGTGTAGGGTTTCGCCAAAATAAATTAAAAAAAATAAAAAAGGCTCAAACAAATTCACAAACAGTATTAGGGGAATTTGGAATGTTACTTCAATATTCAAGTTAGATCTTTTCCACTGGTTAAGTATAATTAAATTTTTAATTTAAATATTGGTTGAAAATTCGTGTAAAACAAATAAAGCTAATCGTATTTTAAATATTCGCCTTGATGATAGTTACGAGTTTACAAATAGCTGTAATTAATGTTTTTTAACCGAGTAATATTAATCAATTAAATTATACAGTTGAAATATATTGTAATATAGATTATTTTTGAGAAAAATTTTAATTCATATAAATAAATATTTATAATTTATTAATTGAACTCTCAAATGCTACGTATTACGGCTTGAATACATATCTGCTACCTAGACACCCGTCGATGTTTAATAAATTCTTTTCACATGAAAACAAATGATTGAGTTTGGAGCTTTTTGGTACTTCTTTTTATCCACTCTAGATATCAGAGTATTTCGAAAAAAATGACAGAGTGGTGTCGTGCCACTCTTGCTTAATTGTAAATGTTTTTAAATAGAATTAATCCTATGATAGTGTAATTAGGAGATTGCTATTATGTGCATTGCTTTCTTAAATAAATAGGTGGAATAAAGAGTTTTTATGTTAGATTGAAAGTCCATAAATAATAATTGATGTACACCTTAATTTACTTGCTTGACAATCATATAAAGTGTGATTTATTAATAATACTACCCCCTGTATTATGGTTCAATGATTTTTTCATAAAAATTGTAATTATTTTTATAAGCCATAGCAATTATGACGTTTATTGTAAGAAAAAGGTATTTTTGAGATAGAATTTGAGGTTAACTCTCGAAAAGTAAATTGGAGCCTATCATTGATTTCATAAAATTTAATGAATACAATTTTGACTAGTTTTGTATTTATATTTTCTAATACAATTACGTATTTTTAAAATTAGGTGTTGTATTGTTAATATATCACACTGTATATACAGTATTCATCCGTTAACTAATTTTTATTGCACATTTGTATAGTGTATTAATATAATACGATAGTTTCTTATTTTTACGTTTAACTCAATATTGTTTTAATTATCTTATTTATTGAATAATAATTTAATCATTAATAAGAACAAATTAAATATTCTATTGCCAATATTATAAGAATTTTAAGTTACTTTTAAAATATTATCTTGAAAAATTAAGTTTTTTTTTAACGTTCATTGAAACTGGATACATATAAATTAATATTATATTTTTATAAATAAAATTCGTTAATTTTGTTTTTATTTATACATCTTTTAAGGCAATCAGCTTTTGTAATAATGTGTACTTATTTTTATTTTATAAAATTTTGAAAATGTTATAATGATTGCTTATTGTTAAATATTTATGGAAGTGTTATTTATAAATAATTTGGTTTGATTAAAATGTGTATTATCAAAGATAGACTTCCATTAATTTTTTCTTAACTTATTTGCAATCCGTTTTAGTTTTCTATGGAAAACGGACGAAGATAATTCATTGTGCAATTTAGCGTTATTGTAGCTAATATCGTAATTATTAAAACTTAATATACCTTGACTGATAAATCAAATAAAGCTTCAGGAAGGTGACACATAGAAAAGAAAAAACGATCATAAAATTACAAAAAATAATATTTTAGTAGGGTAGTCGCGAGTCATTTTTGTAAGGAGGTAAATAAGTTCACTTTACCGATAAAGTAACTTTAGGAGGACAGGCCATCCTTATTAGATAGTTCTTGTATTAGCATTCTAACATAAGAAAATTTCTAGATGTGTGCCTGTAAGGAAATATTTAGTTTTACTCGTAATTTCTACCTAAATATTATCACTGAAAAGTATACTATAATATTACAAATTGTATCTATTATGTCTAATATTTAGACAGTCGTAAAGCTTTTTTATAAAACGGCTATGAAGTTATAAAATTGAAAATATGTCTAAGAAACATTTTTAAACTTGCCACAAAATAATCCTAGATACACCATTATACTCATTTAACATTATATAATGTATAATGATAATTTAAAATTTTTTTTCAAAAATTTAAAATTTCCATTTGCAATGAAATCGCTATTAATGATACATTGTCAGATATTAATTATTTTTTAAACTTCTGTAGAACCAAATTTTCTAAAATAAAATTGGCAGATAACTGTTTTTCCTTTTTAAAATATTTATTAAATAAAAATTTAAAACACAAATTTGATAATAAATAATATTACCAAAAACAAAATATCAAGTATTGCACTTAATTAATAAAATGAAATGTTGATAAATTTTATCCAACACGGGTCATACAAAATTACAAAAAAAAAAAAAGATTATCAATTTTATTTTTGTCTTATTATTAAACTATATATAAGTTATAAGGAATTTACAGCTTTTGGTCATCCATTAAATGTAACAATTTTTTTTTTTGTATTATTACATTTTAAATAGAATCAATGACAATTAAATGCGTAACATTTTATTTAATACTCATTTTGAACAAAGAATTAGAGCTAAATCTCAATATAAATATTAGATGATTTACAGTCTAAAAACAAAGCTTAAAATCAAAAATAAAAAAAATAATAAAAACATACTTTGTTTAAAATTTATTTCATTAATTTTATACACATAATGAATTTAGTAGACTATCAAGTTAACCTAAATTTAAGAGGCATATATCAATTTATAAAAAAATTTAATTCACTGATTTTCTAAACTTTAAATATATATATATGTATATGTATATATTTATATATATATATATATAACCAATGATCAATGACATATCATAATAAATTACCACACTTTTATGACTGGGACCACCAATCGGGTGATTTGGAATTTCCATTGGAAGTAGTGTTACCACCATAAGATCCTCCATAATTGCCACCACTGTAAAATCCACTTCCTAAACCAACACAAAAATAAAATATGAATAAATCTATTAAGGTTTATTACCAACGAAAAGCATAAAGAAAGCTTTAACGCCGATAGAGGACCTGGAAAATAAGGGTTGCTTGAGTTACCATTGCTACTGCCACCTCCACCATAGTCTCTGCGAGGTGGTCCTGAGCTACCTCGTGAGGGTGGCATACTGCTTTGAGTACGGTAATCTCTTGAACCAAATCCAGAACCCCCAAAGCGACCTCTGTAAAAAAAAAAAAAAAAAAATTGTTTAAAATCGCTACAATCGATANAAAAAAAAAAAAAAAAAATTCAGTTAAAATTTGTTTCAAATAATTAAATTAATAAGAAGTTTTACCCTTTTGATCCATTATTTCTTCTACCACTGTTCATTCTAAAGTCACTAGCCATACTTTCTAACCATCCCGGTAATTCTTGTTTTGATTCAGTAATTAATTCCATAAGATCTCTAGTTAAATTACGATTTTTGTCGTTGAAAAATGATGTTGCCAAACCTTAAGAGAAATAAATTATATACATTTTTTATAAGACCATTATATATGAATCAAAATTTAAAAATCTTACCTAAATTTCCCATACGTCCAGTACGTCCAATACGATGTACATACTCTTCAACGTCTGATGGTAAATCATAATTAATAACATGTGTTACATGAGGTATATCTAATCCTCTAGCTGCAACTGCAGTAGCAACTAAAATAGGAGTGTTTCCTGACCGGAAACTTTTAAGAGCATCTTCACGTTCACGCTGAGTTCGGTCACCATGAATTGAAGTTACTGGGTAACCATTAGAATAGAGGAATTCTTCCAAAGAATCAGCACCTTTTTTTGTTTCAACAAATACCAAAATCAATGATTCAGCAGGTTCTGCAAAAATAAATAAAATAAAAACTAATCAATATAAATTTAATAAAAAATTATTATTAGAAAAGTGTACTAACGTGTTCTAATAGGAGTGGCATTTAATAAATCTAGTAGATATGATCTTTTATTTCGATCTTCAACCCAGACTATTTTTTGAGTAATATTTTCTGACGTTGAACCTACTCTACCAATTGCTAAGAAAATATAGTTATCAAGAAAATCTCTTGCTAGAATCTAACAACATATACAAAAAAATAGTGTCATATTAAAATTTGATTTATGAGTAGGATTAATGATAAATACTTGAATTTCTTTAGGAAATGTGGCTGAAAACATGAGAGTTTGTCTGTCACCGGGTGGAGGCATTGAATCTTTTTCTACAATACGCCTTATTTGAGTTTCAAAACCCATATCCAACATTCTGTCAGCTTCATCTAACACTAAATAACGACAAAAATCTAATCCAATTTTCCCTCTTTCTAACATATCCACTAAGCGACCAGGAGTTGCCACTAAAAGATGGCATCCTTGCTCAAGATCTCGAATTTGATCCATTACATGTGAGCCTCCATAGCTGTTGAAAAATAAAATAAAAATATTTTAAGAGCTAAGTTTTAAATTGATAATAATTATAATTAAATTTCATACACAACACAAGGGCGTACTCTAGAGCGATAAGCAAACTTTTTTGCTTCATCATATATTTGAGTAGCTAGTTCTCTGGTAGGTGCCAAAATCAGGCCAAGTGGATATTTTCTTCTAGATTGAGTCTAAAAGAAAAATTCAACAAATAACAACAATTTTTTTTCTATTGAAATTTTAATGATATTAATTTCAATGTATGAATTATAAAATAATGCTTACTTTTGGTCCACCATTGTAAGCAGCTGGCCCCTTTTCATATATTTGGTTGAGTATTGGAACTAAAAAAGCTGCCGTCTTGCCTGATCCTGTTTGGGCACAAGCCATGACATCACGGCGTCCTATAATAATTGGTATAGCGTATTTTTGTACAGGAGTTGGTGTATCATAACGGGTCAAAGCTATGTTCATCCTTATAATTTCTGTCAGCTTGATGTCATCAAACTAAGAAATAAATAAAAAAAATTCTGTTAAATTAAGATTTGAGAGTTTTTAACAGATCAACACTCACTACATTAATATTTTTGTTTTAATAACATTTTGGACTTGTCATTACAATTTTTTATGAGAAAATACAATTTTTTTTTTCAAAGTTTTTGATGATTAAAATACCATGTGATTTATTATGAATATTAACATCAATTTTTTCATAAAAATGTACTGAGAAAAATTTAATTATTTAAAAAATTTTTCTATGTTATGCACTTCTCGTGCCTATAACTAAAAATTGTATTTGAGAGTATTAATAACAAAACTGGTTATCAACTAGTTAAAATTTTATTTAGTCCATTATTCATTAAGTTGCATAAAAATAATGATAAACTCCTTTTTACCTTTAAGGAGTTACCTCTAAAAACTGTCATCAGAAATAAGTTTAATAAATTAAATCTAATTAATTAGTCTTTTTTTTTCAAAAAGTGAAAAAATATAAGTTAAATAATAAGGAGAATCTTACTGTATCAATATGAGGTGGTACATCTTCACCAGTTGCTTCAACAGGAATGTCTTCATACTTATTAAAATTAATGCCAGTACTTCGATTGCCAAACAACTCTTCTTCCAAACGTTCATCAGGTGGAAGTGGTTTGGTCCAATCTTGGTTAGTAGCATTTGAATCATCCCATCGACCTCTTCGATTTTCAGATCTATTGTAAATTTAAGACACTATGTATAGTCTATAGTCAAGAGAGAATATGCAATGAGGACAACACGAGAAAATAAAAAATAATCCATTTGTTAACTAAAACAAGCCAAGATGATTATATCTTCTTATATACTACTTTTAGACTTGAAAAATACTAGAAGAAACACAAATAAGCACAATGACTAGATTTATAACAGGATAGTTATAATATATTAAGTGAAAATAAGATGTTTAGTGCATTATGACAAACACATTCAGGTTATTTAATCATAAAAACTAATTTATTTAATTAAAAGAGATATAGAATTTTGCCAGAAAATCAGGGTAGTGTTATTCAAATATGTATTTACAGTATATTTATGTAAATAATATTAGCTATAAGTGATCAATTTTTAATATATATTAACTTATACATAGAACGTATGTATTTAAAAATTAAAGAAATAATCTAATTGTTACAAACAATGGAAATTCTTTTTGTAATTTATTGAACACCTAGTATATTTTATAGTTAATTTTGCACCAAAATATATATTGTTCAGTAAATATGGAAACATATTTCTATTGCTTATAAAAATTAACTTGTTTCCTTACTTACTGAACACCCTGAACAAGACGATTCCTTAAACACTTAAAAACCCGATGTCTTTTTAAATATAAATATTGTTAAGAAAACTAATTTTTGGTGTTTTTTTTAATTTAATGTATTTCTTGATTTATCAATTATTAATTACTTTTTATACTCATCCCTTATACTTAGTATGTGTGTCAAGTTAAATTTTTCAATTAATACTATACATAATTAACTATATTATAAAATGATAAATGATTTAATCAAGAAAATTACTGGTCGATAATAACATTTAATTCATTATTTCAGAAGTTTTATCAAAGAAAATAGAGGCAAGGTGTGGGTATGATATTTATCATTAGATATTTCTCAAAAGCATCTTTCTTTTCACTTAGGTATACAAACATTACTAACCTTTGAAATACCAGTATAAAAGTTTTTATGGATCAGTCATTTTTTTGTTTGTTTTATAACCTTTTTAAATAAATATGTTGCCATTAAAAAAAATATTAAGGTATAAATTAATAAAGTAATTAATAAATGATAATTAAGATATACATGAAATTAAAAAATAGGAAGAATAATTTTTTTAACACAGTGAAGGGTCCTCACAATAAAATAGTCCTAAATACAAAGGTGTAATTTGATATTAACTATATTATTAGTTAAAAATAAACTAACCGTCTTCCTTCTTGCCACCTGCTACCACCGCCTCCAACACCTTGATTGAAACGCGACCAATCGCCGCCTTCTCTATCATTACGGTAATTGTTTCTATAACCTCCTCCACTTCGTCCTCCACCATAATTGGAATTCGAGGATCCATTGTAGGAACGATCTTCATAATCATCTCTACGACCACCTCGACGGTCGTTTCCTAAAAAAATAAAATATAATTAATTATAATGTACAGTTCAATTGTCTTCATTGTAAGGCCAAAATCAGATATAACCTTGGCTAAACAAATCTGACGATCTATTATAGGAACCTGATTGACGAGATCCGTTGTAATCTCTACTATCCCTTTCGTTATCTCTTCCTAGAAATTAAAGATTGTACACTTAAAATTTGAAAAATCTATTCTAATTTAATGAGAAAATATAACAATACAATAAAAATTTAATAGATTGTATTATAATTAGTGATGAGAAATATCGAGTAGTAACTGTCGAACAATTTGATAGTTATGAATGTGTTAAAGCTTTCATGGATTGTCTTGTTGCTTGAAGTGTTTGAGGATATATCCATGTTTGCAGTTGAGTTCTGACGTTTCGGACTATACTGTTATAGTATAGTTGCAGCCACCGACTAGCAACCATCACTCTGAAGATGGACTCTGCAATGAGTCCGAAACGTCAGAACTGAACTGCAAACATGGATATATCCTCAAGCACTTCAAGCAAATTTGATAGTTGTCCAGTATTCAAACTATACGATAGTGTATGCTAAAAATAAACTATTTCGTTGTATAAACACAATTCGAATAGTTAATCGATAGTTAAAAATATTTGAAAATGCCCATCATTAATTTTTACTATTATTAATTGTATAATAATTTATTTTAAGTATTCGTTAATTATCTTCTTATTATAATTAAGTGTACCTAATAAAAATTTTAGGTAGAACTATTATTATTAAAAATTAAAATTATATTAAAAATATTTAATACAAACAAAAAGACACCAAATATTACTAAAAAATTTCAGATATATATTTTAGGAACAATTTTACTATTATCAATGCTAAACACACACTGACATACCGACAGAAAAAATCTCTTATATACCCCTAGAGACCTTATCATCTAGTAAATATATGTTTAACAATTAATTTACTAGAATTAAATTTAATAAAAAAACTAACTTAATTTAATTAACTATGTAATAATTAACTAAAAGACTAGAATCTTAATTCATAAATGAATAGTTTTAATTGTTTGATGGGGAACGAGGTGAATTTCTATGAAAGAAAAACACTCAGATACCATCAATAATTCTATAAGAAGTTTTAAAAAATGTCTTTATGTAAACAATTTAGATGCTCATTTAATATAAAAATAAGTATGAACAATTCACTTCTAAAATTAAGATAACTATTTAAATACTTTAATATATTAGACAGTTATTGTAATTCAAAAGTAATAAATAACAAACAAATAATACATGAATGTTATTAAGTTGAAAATTTATCATTTGTATAAAAAAACCTTATGAAAAAAACTAAATTAAAATTTTGAAAAAAAAATCACTGAAAAAGTTTAGTGTTATAGTGATTATAAAAATAAATAATAGTATAAAATTACCTTGATCTTGTGAATTATTTTGTAAATTCCTAAGATGTGGTGGAACGTACTTGCTTGGGGCTGAACTAGATTTAGTGTCACCCTGCAAGTCCAGACCAGCAAACTATGAAACAAAAATAAATAAATTACATAAAATATTATTCTTTATAGACTTATGGTTATTTAAAAATGATTACAAAATATTTTTAAGCAATGTTAACCTAGACAATGAAAATTTGCACATCCTGTTAACATTAACCTAGCAGGATGAAAGTTAAAAATGTAAATATTATTAATTTACCTGCTGCTCTAGACCTGATCCATTTTGTTTGGGTACATTACTCATATTATAACAAATCGGCGACGATAAATGCGTTGCTGCACTTGCGAGTCGTTTATAAAGGAATACAGAATTAAATTGCTGAAAGAATCACAAATAATGGCAAATGCCAATAATGGCCGACTATTTTGAAGGGAGATGGACAGCTGATAACCTTGAATGTAACAATACCATGAAGATGGTATTAACCAAAAAAATTTAATTGGAAAATGATACTTTTAATATTAATTGACTGTACATAAAAAAAATTCATCTTACATCATCTATTTTGAGTTCAATAATTTTTATTCAACATTTTTTAATTTTTTAATCTATAATATATTATTTAATTAATACATTTTTCAAAGCGTTGGTCACACTGCATAAAAAAAAATTACAATTGAGTGTTCACACTGATTATAATGTAAATTATGTATTGTAATCACAAAAGTCTCTCCTTCGCGACCGACTTCGTTCAAATATACTTGTGTGAGTATTCAAATTTTTTATTAAATTTTAGTTTTAATCCTTAATTATCTAAAGCATCCTTCGTGTAAGTTTAAAATCGTTATAATTTAATGTTAAAGTTATTTATAAACAATTTGTCTAAGTCATATTATCACTAAGAGAAATCTTTGTTGGAGTAGTTATTATTTAAAAAATAGTAGTTTTATAATACGTCTTTACAAAATATTATTTTTTCAATCCCACAACTTACGTATTTAATTAAAAATGAAGAATCTTAACCTACTTCTCATTTGAATTGTTACTTTTTTGTTGTCTTATTTAATTTTATTTAGTATATTTAATTGGATAATTGTTTTGCAGATTTTTAAAAATGGGTAGGGTAATTCGTGCTCAAAGGAAAGGTGCGGGAAGTGTTTTCCGTTCTCACGTAAAACACCGCAAGGGAGCCCCTAAACTAAGGAACCTAGATTATGCAGAAAAATATGGTTACATCAAAGGTGTCGTTAAGGTAATATACTCTATTTATTTTCGTACCTAATTGTTAATAGTTATAGTATTTTTTTTTTTTGTTATATTTATAATATCACTAATAATTAAAATTATAGTTAACGTTTTATGTTGTTATTTTGTGTTACATTTTAATATTTCTAATGTTCTGTATGACTTAAATTACACCTCTTATTGTTATTATGTTAACGTTGATTGATTAAAATTCAGCAATGAATTGCTTATATTAAGAAGTCGTTCATTTGTAATGGAGTCATTAAAAAAAAATGTTTTTGTAATTTTACTTTTTCTTGACAATTTTGCTTATAACTTGGTAGGAAAACGTAAAATTATAAAAGTAATATATTTTGGACTTGCAACTGGACGACTCAAGTAAAAACCATGTTAATATATAGCTGTGTATGAAAGCAACTACGTTAACTTTATTTTTAATGTGATTTTTGATATCATTGAACAAGTTTTAAATTTACTACTTGAAATTGTTTAATAGTTTATTATGAAAGTTTAATTCCAGTTCATACTGTCAATTTTATAAATATTTTTTTCTACTTATAGGATATAATTCATGATCCTGGCCGTGGAGCTCCTTTAGCTGTTGTCCATTTTAGAGATCCATATAAATATAAAACTAGAAAAGAATTGTTCATTGCTCCTGAAGGTGTTTACACTGGTCAATTTTTATATTGTGGAAAGAAGGGTATATTTTAAAAGGCATACTCAAATGGATTTTTTTTTAAATATTTATCTATTTTTAGCTAAATTAAATATTGGTAATGTTATGCCTGTTGGTGTTATGCCTGAAGGTACAATTGTCTGTAACTTGGAGGAAAAAACTGGTGATCGTGGTCGTTTAGCACGAGCATCAGGAAATTATGCTACCGTTGTAGCTCATAATCCAGATGCTAAAAGAACCAGGGTTAAATTGCCTTCGGGTGCTAAAAAAGTTATCCCATCAAACAATAGAGCTATGGTTGGTAAGTATTTGATTGTGAATACTTACAAGTTAATACTTCAAAATTAAAAAATTATTTAAACGTTTTTCTAAAACAACAATTTTTGATTAATATTATTAATTGAAAATGGGAACTTTTTAAAATTATTTGTAGTAGACTGAGGCTTATTTGTATGAAATTTAGTTATTTATTTTTTATTATATTTGGTTTATGATAATTATTGTACAATTGTTTTAATCTATAATTTAAATATTCTTTCACATTTTTATATTCTCAAAAATCAAATATATTTTAACTTGGTAATAAGTGAATCAAATATTTATACAAATTTGGGCCAACTATTTGAGTGATTGGGATAAAACTTAATTGCTGTATTTTTATCACAAGGTTTATTTTAATTTTTTTTTTTTTTTCCAAAAAACATTTTTATGTAATCTAATTAAATTAGGAAACAATAATATATAATATTTATCAATTATAACAAAATATTTTTGATTTTAATAATTTTTTTATCATCTTCATTACATGTGTAATGTAAATAATTGAAAAAATAAAGTGTATCTTAACTAATCAACCATTTAGGTAACTGCTGAGGAAAATATTTAAAAAATNGTATCTTAACTAATCAACCATTTAGGTAACTGCTGAGAAAAATATTTAAAAAATATATCTATAGTTAAAAAAACTAAAAAAAACGCGCTTTTAAAGCATATCAAACTAAAAAGTTAAAATTAATTTTTAAAATAAGCTTAAAACAATAATGAATGAAAATTACTAGTNATAGTTAAAAAAACTAAAAAAAACGTGCTTTTAAAGCATATCAAACTAAAAAGTTAAAATTAATTTTTAAAATAAGCTTAAAACAATAATGAATGAAAATTACTAGTATTATTGTGAAAAAAGCATTGGGCAGCTCAATATACGAAAAATATGGCATAAAGCACCCATGCTTTTTTTTACAATAATACTAGTATTCTTCGTTCATTATTGTTATAAGTTTCTTTTAAAAATTATTTTTAACTTTTTAGTTAGATGTGTTTTTTTAGTTTTTTAAACTATATTTATTTTTCACTTTTTAGTTTTTTATGACATTGCTGTGACAGTCATAGAGTATTTATTGTCAATTATGACTAATAATAATTATAATTTCTGTATTGGCAGTTAGTGTATTTATAAATTCACAACTGTGTATTACTATAATTGATAATAAAGGCTATATACCTGTGAATATTGTCTTAAAAAATCCAATTAGCTACCTGTATTTGTAATCCTTTATGTATTATACATGTTTTTTAACTCAAAAAAATTTGAACCTTTAAATGTTTATATCTCATAATAACAATAAAAATTTGTTTGTGTATGTGTGTGTATATATATATATATAATATTGATGACACACGCGCATGTACGGGTCACCATACACGACTGGATACGCGATAAATAACACATGGCGTGTCGAGAGTTACAAAAAAACATACATACAGGTGAAACTAATCTAAGCGTGTTAAAAACTTAAATTCTAAGTTACTCTTATACTATTCAAATGTACCCCATATATAGGAGATAATTATTTTTATAAAAATTAAATATTAAGAATGAATTTTAGCTAATTTAATAAAATGGTGAAATACTTTTTAAAATAATTAATTATTTTAATGATACAGTTAAAAAAAATCTAACATCTCTGCCTCAATAGATAATTAAAAAATTCCCTAAAAATCAATTTTATTTTATTTTTTAATTAATTAATAATTATAAATGGTGATATTTGTTTATCATGTAAATAAGAGTGTCACTTATTGATCTTCTTTATGATTCTGGATTAATTGTAAAGATGTTATTAGTGGATTACAAATGTACTTCACATACAAATCTGCCCCTGCATTAATTTTTTTTTTTTAATTGTTTAGAATAGACACAATTAAATTTAACTTATAATAATGAATTATTTAGTATCAATGATGTTGTATGACATTTGAAAACTGAAAACTAATGAAGTCATTCTATTTCTGAGATACAACTACATAAAAAATATTTTTAATAGTTTTAATTTTATTTTATTTATAAAAATTTTAGAATTACATTGTGAGTTAACAATATATTACTGATAAATTAAGAAGCTAATTTACTTATCTAGTAATCTAATATTGCTTTTATAAATTCTTTACATATTTTGAAATATAAATCAATGATGATTAATAAATTAACAGACATTTGAAATCTGAATTAATTATAAATGAAGATTCTTTCAATTTTTCTGAGATTCTATCCGTAAATCATTAAATGGAGTTATTAATTGCAAATTATATTGAAAAAATAATTATTGTTTATTATTGTCTGTTGCCCTGGCCATTGGGTAGAAATGTGTATTTTGTTGCATAGTGTCCTAGGTTTGATTTCCAGGGTGCCCACAAGAACCACCTTAGATTCTCTTATATTTTAATGAAGGTCTCCACGCTCTGTAGCGTGTTAAGTTTGGAAAATAGTAAGATGTAAAACTAATCATTATTTATTAATTTTTTCAATTATTTATCATTTTAATGTTTACTATCTTACTTAAAATTTAATTGAGTTAAAATAAAATATTTTTAGGAGCTGCTAAGAAGTTTCTTAAGTATTACATATTTTAAGTACTTCATGTAGTTGTAAATTTATGTGCATATTTATTTTAAAGCCAGTGGAATAATACATCACATTTATTTTATCTTCATTAATTAAATGATATATTTTTTATTACTAACTTAAAACCAAGTTTTGAAAATTCTTATTTTAAAAAGAAAAATGTTAGAATAAGCTGTATTTATATTTTTAGTGCTTTAATCATTAAGTTCAATATTTTTTTAGGATTGGTGTCTGGTGGTGGACGTATTGACAAGCCTATGTTAAAAGCTGGTCGTGCATATCACAAATACAAGGCTAAGCGTAATTGCTGGCCTAAAGTTCGTGGTGTTGCTATGAATCCTGTTGAGCATCCCCATGGTGGTGGTAACCATCAACATATTGGTAAAGCTTCTACTGTCAAACGAGGAACTAGTGCCGGAAGAAAGGTTACAATTAATACTATTATTATTACTTTTATTAACTATATAATTTTTATTGTTTTAATTACAGGTTGGTCTCATTGCTGCTAGAAGAACTGGTAGGATTCGGGGAGGTAAAGTTGTTACCAAAAAGGGAGATGATTAAATTGTTTACTGTCATATTTGTATTTCATTTTACAAATAAAAAATAAAAACCAAAAATTTTGTTTTTTTTTATAATAACTCATATTTGTATATTTTAAACCTGAATAGCTTAAACTTAAGAAAGATTAAAACTCCTGGCTTATTCGTTTAACATTTTGTAATAGAATTTAAATAATCAGCATATCAGTAGTGTTTGATATATAACATATTTTCTATTAGATTGTTACCAGATTCTATATTTTAAGTTATTCAACTTATACCTTATCACAGCAATAAATAATACAATATCAAGTAATAACATGTTATTTTCAAAAACTTTGTATTATGTACCTAATTATTAATCTTTGGTGTATACGATCTTAACCTCATAAAAAGCTTTTTAAGTTATAATTTAAAGTATTGTGTAAAAAGAGTAAATTTATTTTCGGTACTGTCAAGTAAAATAGTCACTATTCTTCTGCTGGCATTTATTACTCTTGAAAAATTTTCACCGCCATTACGATCAGCCTCCATTCTTCACTTTCATGAACTATTGTTATCCACTCTCGTACTCCTATTTTCTTGAGATCTTCCACCGGACCCAACCATCTCTTTCTAAGCCGTCCGCGAGGTATCTTTTCTGCATGTTTCCATTCCAGCACCACCCTAACCATCTCTTCCTCATTTCTGCGCAAATATTCACTATAGTAATTAAATATGTACTATAATGATATTTTAAAATAGTTGATCATATTAATAGAAACAACTTTCTTCTGCATATTAAACAGAATTTCGAGTGACCACATAAATTATTTTTAATAAAATAAATAAATTATAAGTATTATTTATATATAATTAACTAATAAAATATTCTATGGAATTTCTAATCGATATTATAATTTTTTTTTTTCATTTAATATTTTGTTTTATTTCACTAAAATGGTGACTACTCAATTTGAAAAAAAATATTTAAATTTACTTTTTATAAAAATGTTTCTTTTTCAAGTAAGTTATTTAAATGAAAAATTTGTTAATCGTTATATTTATATAGTTTTATCCTTGAGTTACATATTACTTTTTTATGAGTTTTTAGACATGCATCCATGTTTATGATAAGATTTTTTAACAGTTTTAATGTACATTTACCTCCTTAATAGTGTATATCTAACTAATGAAGGGTCACCCTTATTCATTATATTTGTACCAATGGCTCGCCTAAAATTTATTTGAAAAGTTCTTTACTTTACTATACAATTTAAATTATTAAATTGTCTTGTAATTATTTTCTAGCGTTAACTGAAAAAAATGAATTATTTCATGATTTATAAGTACAATCAGTGAAAAAATACTTTTGATAATTAAATTTTATCGAACAATAATTAAAATGTTAATCTGTGATAAAAATTTATTTAGCTATTTAGAACATTTTCAGTATTATATTTATTATTACTATTTTATAAAATTATTGTTATTATAACTGAGACTCTAAAAAATCTATGCCACATATGGACAACATCTTAAAAAAATTATTTGACTAATATAAAATAAAAACTATTAATATAATTTTAATTTTCTATTAAATTAAAAAAATTCAACCTGTACTGTACATACAATTTGATTTAATTTTTAAAACCTGATTCAGGAGGAATAAAGGGAACTTAGTATCAGGGGCAAACATTTTGGGAAACACTTGAATTTTATATCTAATAAAATTTTTTGTTGAATACAAGGACCTCTTTTAATTTCTGAACCTAAGGTACCTCACAATATTTTGTTCTGAGATTGCCTTTGTTAAAAATATTTACAACAATTATAGTGTCGAATTTTTATACATTGATCGTTATAAATATATTTGATAATAATTAACATTACTATACTATTAATGATATAAAGATAAAATAGTAACAGAAATAATAGTTGTCCTTCATAGCCCTCCTAAATTAAAAAACTTTATTTTAATTTAATTTGAATAATTTTTTTCAAAGGTAATTATTTAAATATAATATAATAACTTATGTTATTTTACATAACTTTATCGATGGAAAAAATTTCTAAAAAAACCTTGAACTTTATTAAAGTTCAAGGTTTTTTTAGAAATTTAATATTAAATATTTAGAACACTTTTAAAAATTGTTTATTGTTATCGATGTTATTAAATTAATAGAGTACCATAACAAAATGTAAATTCAATTTAGACTCTTATACAAATTAGAGAAATGAACCAATTCATTGTAATTCGAGAATATGAGTTTTTGTTCTAAAAACTTGTATTTACTATAGAATATGACCAATATTTGAGTTAAGTACTCAGATTAGTATATCATGATGTTTTTTTAATTTAACTTTTCTCCAGTTGGCAGATCGAGTTGGCAAGAAATTCAATAGAATCAATTTGTATTACGCATTTTCTTTATTAACACAAGAAAACTTACCTAATTATACTAATAACTGTGGTGAGAAATTTCGAATATTACCATTCCGATAATGTATCAAAACAACAATAAAGCTTTTGGTAAGAAATATAAAATGCATAACTACACATACAATAGTTTTTATAAACTTTGATGAGTTTTCACTAAAAAAAAAATGACTGTATAAAATTCTCTATGATATTTAAAGAAAATTACATAAATTATACATATCATAAAAATATAATTTCGGAAAAAAATTGGAGATAAAACATAATATATAAATAAATATCGGGTATATGAAGAACCTTCATATACTACAAGATTTTTTTCAAAAAATATTAATTGTTAGTATTTTTTAAGTCTCAAAAGAGTTATTATGGAAAGTTATAAATTTGGAGTTAAAAAATAAGTATTAAATGAGATAATTTTACAATAATTTTTTTAGTTCATAACTTTGTTAATAGTTATGTGCATTTAAGTGATAAAGTTAATTTCACTTTTGTTTAAAACTCTTACTTTTTTCATGTAAATAAAGTTCATCCTCCAAAATCCTGAATTCTTTGAATTTATAATAAACTTAAAACATTGTAATATATTATGCAATAAAATTTAACAAAAATTATATCAAGAATATTCAAATTTTGTTGAAAACTATTGTTCTTTATTTCAGCCTACTTATTGAAGTGGTTCAGGACCAGTTGTTTGCACACTATCATCAGGTGTCATTATTATGACGGTTAGTAAAATTATCCATGTCGAAGGACATTTAGATTTGGTTTGATGGTTGTTATGTGGGCCGTCGGTGGCGGTTGTAACCCTTGCGCATAAAGATCCGTCCCTTGATTCGGCGGGACATGTACTTTTATTCGCATGTATTTGCGCCGCAACAAGTTTGTGTCTTCGCCGTCATCGGGGCAGCAACAAGTCCACGCGAACGTCGTTTCTGCTGCCACACGTCTCACAGTTACATTTTGCGTCCGTTACACAGTACAAAAAGGTAAGAATATCTTTAAGACCTATTTGGTCGATAAAAAATATTTAGAATTTTTACACATAATTTGATCTATAATTAGCAAAATTACACTTATACAAGTGGCATATATATTAGCTTAAGGAAAAGAAATAAATTCAAATTTGGCTATCAAATGATTTATTTTTAAATAACGGATCATAAAAACGACAAAGAAAATTGTTTTGAAATCCTTGTTTATTTTTTAATTTTAAAGAATTACATTCAACTAAAGTACTCGGTGGTTAATTTCTTTAAAACAATAACCAATACATGAAAAATTTGTATATGTGCAGTTTATATATATATTAAATATTCTTAAATGTTATTATAATTTATAACTTATGTGTGTCGTGATGTTTATAAGTACTTAGACACACACAAGTTTTAAACTAAATGATTAACTTAAAGTTCGATTAAGTCGTTTTAATGAGTGGATTGTCGATGAGTCGATAAAATATCACGTAAAGAGTTCTTTTATTGTCAAGTAATATTACCAAAGGGATCAATGGAATGATTTTTGTAATCGTGACATATAAATAGGGTCATGTAAAATGTTTTTTATGAAATACTTTATTATAGTTTACAAAGCTTCAACCCGAACTTAAGCTGGTATAAAAGTAAATACTTAAATAAAATTTTCATTTTATTGAACTATTAAATATTTCTCAAGAAAAATTATTAGTATTTTTTTTATTATGTTAAAATGTTTTAACGACCTATTGGTACGTACTTTTTTATAAACGATAACGTAGGTTATGTGTCCAGTTATTATATCGGATATTTTATCTTAGATAACGGGAACACCTCTTCAAACTATAAATACATTATTGTAAATTTTGAATATACTGAAGAAGTGCTTTTTTTCTCATCAGTTCTATGGAGACAAAAAACATTATCTGGCTAAAAAATGACTTCTATAAGATTAAACCATAATTAACATTTCAGTATTTAATTTAATCTCTTGGTAAAAATAAAATATATACAAACCAATTAACAATTACTGTTTTAAATTAAAATTATAACGTAATAAATTTCATTCGGTATCACTCATACATACATTTTTTATTTATATTTGTTGCAGTTCACTTTATATTAAGAATGAAAAATTTAAGTTGTAGCTTAATTACGTCGAGAAACTTTTAACTTAGAAGTTAATATAACATGTCATATCAACCTACACATCCTTACTGTCTGGAAATTAATATTTTTATTGTTTTATAAAATAATTTTATAACCTGAAACTTCGGTTACATCATTTTGCTAAAGTAATAAAAAATCTTTTGATATTTATTATTAATAATCACCTTCATTCTATAAGATGTAATTTTTCTGTTTATTATTATTTTGACAAAGTGATTTGTTTAATCATTTTTCTAAAAAATACTAATCAAGAAATATACATTATTTTTGATGGACTTGATTATTAAAAACGCAAATAAAGTATAATATTGACTACTCTTATATAGGAATAAATAACTGAAGTTTTCGCATGAATAGTATTGAATCTTATTTTCTTTTATTTATTATAAAAATAGATGTTCCTCGAACGAAAAACAATTTTCTTTTTACTTTTTAATTGATTAATTTGTTTTAATTATAAGATATATACTATACAATTACGTGTTCAAGATTTAATTTTTCAGTAGGTTCCAGACTCGGGTCAACATT